CAGGGTATAACACCAGTGATGGATCTCTATACACAGGGTATAACACCAGTGATGGATCTCTATACACAGGGTATAACACCAGTGATGGATCTCTATACACAGGGTATAACACTAATGACAGATCTCTATCAGATGTATGTATACACAGGGTGTACCACCAGTGATGGATCTCTATACACAGGGTATAACACCAGTGATGGATCTCTATATACGGGATATAACACCAGTGATGGATCTCTATACACAGGGTATAACACCAGTGATGGATCTCTATACACAGGGTATAACACCAGTGATGGATCTCTTTACACAGGGTATACCACCAGTAAATGGATCTCTATACACAGGGTATAACACCAGTGATGGATCTCTTTACACAGGGTATAACACTAATGACAGATCTCTATCAGATGGGTGTAAAACCAGTGATGAATCTCTATACACAGGGTATAACACCAGTGATGGATCTCTATACACAGGGTGTAACACCAGTGATGGATCTCTATACACAGGGTATAACACCAGTGATGGATCTCTATACACAGGGTAGAACACCAGTGATTGATCTCTATACACAGGGTATAACACCAGTGACGGATCCCTATACACAAGGTATAACACTAATGACAGATCTCTATCAGATGTATGCATACACAGGGTGTACCACCAGTGATGGATCTCTATACACAGGGTATAACACCAGTGATGGATCTCTATATACAGGATATAACACCAGTGATGGATCTCTATACACAGGGTATAACACCAGTGATGGATCTCTATACACAGGATATAACACCAGTGATGGATCTCTATACACAGGGTATAACACCAGTGATGGATCTCTATACACAGGGTATAACACCAGTGATGGATCTCTATACACAGGCTATAACACTAGTGATGGATCTCTATACACAGGGTATAACACTAGTGATGGATCTCTATACACAGGGTATAACACCAGTGATGGATCTCTATACACAGGGTATAACACTAGTGATGGATCTCTATACACAGGGTATAACACTAGTGATGGATCTCTATACACAGGGTATAACACTAGTGATGGATCTCTATACACAGGGTATAACACCAGTGATGGATCTCTATACACAGGGTATAACACCAGTGATGGATCTCTATACACAGGCTATAACACTAGTGATGGATCTCTATACACAGGGTATAACACTAGTGATGGATCTCTATACACAGGGTATAACACCAGTGATGGATCTCTATACACAGGGTATAACACCAGTGATGGATCTCTATACACAGGCTATAACACTAGTGATGGATCTCTATACACAGGGTATAACACTAGTGATGGATCTCTATACACAGGGTATAACACCAGTACCTCGTAGTATAAACATTTGTTTATATAGGCATGTATTATCAAAATTATTGACCCTCTTGGCCTTTTGGATATTATGTACTGTTGTATATTAGTGTGGAATGCCTTGGTAGGGTCTGCTTCCCTCATTAAGGGGATATTAGACATAAGTGTGTAGGACTAGTCCCAGCAGCCGTCACAGTTTGGATTATCCATACACAACACATGCCTGCTGGGACTGTGATGTCAGAATGGCATAACACACACCAATTCATGATTCTCGTCACTCTCACATTCCTCCTTCATACATCAGCTTTTTATGTTATCAAGATCAAAGATGGCTCATTTACTGTGGCTTCTCAATTGACAAAACAATTGAGGGTTGCCTGTCTCTGGTTGCTGTCATTGTTGCTTCTGCCGTCCATACATCTTTCTTTACACCAGCCAAAACTTGAGAAGACACGAGCACAAAGCTACACTGTAAACAGTGAGAGGAGAGGGATGGAGGACTGCCAAACCAAGTCTGGCGTGTGGCTCACTCAATATGTATTATCCTCTTATTAAAATGAAGTTCCCCTTGCCAATTACAGCAAGTTAATCAGAGGATCAAACAGATCAGAGACACCACACTTCTGTCATTCTTATTAAACTTCATTCCTAGTTTCAAATCACCATCAGTTTGTTGTCAAACACTGCAGCAGATCTCATTGGTTAAGTGTCAAAGAGAGGCTCTCTGGTGATCCCTCTACCAGGTAGAAAGCAGTCTCCCATCATCAATCATCCCAACTCTCAATGGGAAGGGACAAAATAAATTCTCCAGATTTGCTTATAAACAAATGATTTATGTCAAGCATTTTGTTTTTCCTTAAATCATTCCCAAATTTGCTAAGTTTTGTTTTACAAACATTCATTTATTCACAAACAAACAATGGAATATTTCATTTATTCACAAACAAACAATGGAATATTTCATTTATTCACAAACAAACAATGGTATATTTTCACTGTGACTATATCTTAACCATTAGTATAGAGCTGTCGAATCCTTACCTCACTATGGCTATATCTTAACCATTAGTATAGAGCTGTCAAATCCTTACCTCACTATGGCTATATCTTAACCATTAGTATAGAGCTGTCAAAACCTTACCTCATTATGGCTATATCTTAACCATAAGTTTTGTTGAAAATCTGTCCCTGTGCTTTGTGAGAATTTACAGGTGAATGAACTTGAGAAAAATATATTGAAACTTCTTTGCTGATCAAATGGTAAATAATGTAAAATCAGATTATGGAAATTTAGAAAAACTTAATAAAATGGAAAATAAAATCAAAATGTTACACATTGATGGAAAAGATTTAAGAAACAAACTCTTTCGAAAAACTATCTTGAAAACAATTTGTATACTTGTATAAAAATAAGATAATGGATGAAAATGTTGATTACATAGTCCTAATTATACAAGGAACTCTTAAAAGGAACATATGAGATCACAGATCACAGAAGTCAAAATCAGGTGATCGTAAGAAGGAGGCCATGACTGGAATCAATACCAGTATACTGCTATAGTACAGGGGCTCATGGCATCTAACACCTGTCTCAAATACACATCTAAGCTCATTTTAACATATTGCCTCAAAACATCAAAGTTGTGGCTTATTGGGGTCATCAAGTGCACAAACAGGTCATGGGGGTGCAAGGGTACACCTTGACAGTGCTACTACACAAGCTCAGCTTAATATTTCTAATTATAGGTAATACTATCACCACAAAAATAAACTCCTTGATATGTACAAAAAAAAACAAGCTTTTATAAAATTAAACATGCGTAAAAAACGTAGCTGTCATATTCACTTCCTCTAATTATCTTCATAGTTTTGAGGTTTACACTGTCAGTAGAAGACTGGTGTTCTACACGAAGAAAAAACCTGTTACGTTTTCTTAATAATCTTATCAACTCTAATCAGAGATATGTTGATTGTGACTTCACTGTAGATGATGGAGTGGATTATCACTACAGTAAGATATGCTGGATATAATCATCAGAACTGAAGATATACTCACTGACAGAACAACACAAATACTGGGGATATCCCAGCCAAATATAGATATACTCGGGATATCCCAACCAAATATAGATATACTGGGATATCCCAACCAAATATAGATATACTGGGATATCCCAACCAAATATAGATATACTGGGATATCCCAACCAAATATAGATATACTGGGATATCCCAACCAAATATAGATATACTGGGATATCCCAACCAAATATAGATATACTCGGGATATCCCAACCAAATATAGATATACTCGGGATATCCCAACCAAATATAGATATACTGGGATATCCCAACCAAATATAGATATACTCGGGATATCCCAACCAAATATAGATATACTGGGATATCCCAACCAAATATAGATATACTTGGATATCCCTATCATATACAGTTGTAGATATACTGGGATATCCCTACCATATACATTTATAGAAATACTGGGGATACCCCTACCCTATACATTTATAGATATACTTGGGATATCCCTACCCTATACATTTATAGGTATACTGGGCATTTCCCTGCCATATACATTTATAGATATATCAGGGATATCCCTTCCATATACAGTTGTAGATATACTGGGATATCCCTACCATATACATTTATAGATATACTGGAGATATCACTACCCTATACAATTATAGATATACTTGGGATGTCCCTACCCTATACATTTATAGATATACTCGGGATGTCCCTACCCTATACAATTATAGATATACTCGGGATGTCCCTACCCTATACAATTATAGATATACTCGGGATGTCCCTACCCTATACAATTATAGATATACTCGGGATGTCCCTACCCTATACAATTATAGATATACTCGGGATGTCCCTACCCTATACAATTATAGATATACTCGGGATGTCCCTACCCTATACATTTATAGATATACTTGGGATGTCCCTACCCTATACAATTATAGATATACTTGGGATGTCCCTACCCTATACATTTATAGATATACTTGGGATGTCCCTACCCTATACAATTATAGATATACTTGGGATGTCCCTACCCTATACAATTATAGATATACTCGGGACGTCCCTACCCTATACAATTATAGATATACTTGGGACGTCCCTACCCTATACATTTATAGATATACTTGGGATGTCCCTACCCTATACAATTATAGATATACTTGGGATGTCCCTACCCTATACAATTATAGATATACTCGGGATGTCCCTACCCTATACAATTATAGATATACTTGGGATGTCCCTACCCTATACAATTATAGATATACTTGGGATGTCCCTACTGTTGTTGTTTTCATGATATTAATCTTATCCAGAGATATTTTGTTCCAGTTTTAAACCACTTTGTTTAAAACTTGTAGGCTTAATCATCCTGACATGAAACTGCATTTTCCTGATTGGCAATTTGACTTCGCTGTATTTGGAAGAGTTCATGATCATTATTCCTCTCATGATATTAATCTTATCTGGAGATTTCATAAATTTCACTTTGATATGATCCTCAATGTATACCAATATAGGTAAGAGTATTTTTTATTTATAACTTACTTTTGTAAATATCCAGTCTGATAATTCATTTTCTGTTTTTTAGGACAAAAGGGAGAAAAGGGAGATACAGGATTAAGGGTAAGTAAATTATAGAATGTTAGAAGTGACAGTAGGTCTGTACCTGTTATTTTATAATCATAAGGAAACTACCAAATACCAAATATCCAAATATTTGTGAAACTAACTTTATCATTTTCATATTAAAGTTCAAAATACCTTTTTTTTCAAAAATTTTAGAGTTTGTTTAACACAGGAAAAATGCCCATGTTGTTTTCTATCTATACTATTATGGAATTACACAATGTTACTCTATGTGTGATGTGCACAGTATAGGAAAACTCGACAAAATAAGCTCATGCACATCTGTGTGCAAGTTGTGGGGTTCTATCACACATTTGAGCAATTCTATCATGGTTTTAAATTTACAAATGACTGATATATGAGTGCTGAAGAGGGTTTATTTAATTTCTAAATATTTAACAGTACAAATAAGGATATTTCTTAATTAAGCCATAACTCTTTAGGCTCGACATCTGTAAATCTATAATAAAACATCTTTATATTTGATAATTTCCCTGTAATTATGTGTGCATGTTTTGATTATGTCACTGTGATGATGTGTCTCTATGTTTTGATTATGTCACTGTGATGATGTGTCTCTATGTTTTGATTATGTCACTGTGATGATGTGTCTCTATGTTTTGATTATGTCACTGTGATGATGTGTCTCTATGTTTTGATTATGTCACTGTGATGATGTGTCTCTGTATCTAATTATATTGCTGTAATGTTTTACAGGGAGAGAAAGGTGATGATGTGTCTCTATGTTTTGATTATGTCACTGTGATGATGTGTCTCTGTATCTAATTATATTGCTGTAATGTTTTACAGGGAGAGAAAGGTGATGATGTGTCTCTATGTTTTGATTATGTCACTGTGATGATGTGTCTCTGTATCTAATTATATTGCTGTAATGTTTTACAGGGAGAGAAAGGTGATGATGTGTCTCTATGTTTTGATTATGTCACTGTGATGATGTGTCTCTGGATCTAATTATATTGCTGTAATATTTTACAGGGAGAGAAAGGTGATGATGTGTCTCTATGTTTTGATTATGTCACTGTGATGATGTGTGTCTATGTTTTGATTATGTCACTGTGATGATGTGTCTCTGTATCTAATTATATTGCTGTAATATTTTACAGGGAGAGAAAGGTTACACTGGATTTCCGGTATAGTTCACATCTCCATATAACATACTAACTTTGTGTTACACAGATATGGAAAGTTCTATCATTTTTCAGAGCTGTGGTGTTGGAGCTGAGACCTGATGGAACCTTTCCTTTTGTATATAGTAATTACTATCACGTTAAATACTAACACTGTATAGCTAGATACTACTGTAAAGGGCTTCAACGGAAATCGTTTTTAAAAAAGTTTCAAAATAGTCTTCTTAAAATAGTATTTTTTCTGATGAATTGGAATCATGCATTCAAAGATAGACCTATATCTATGAAATGACAAAAGAAGCTTACTTTTTACAGAGCGTGTTAGCTGTATAATCACGTATTCTTTATGATTTTTCACCAATGTATCATTAAGTACTAACATGTAGCTCCTATATCAAAGTACTATAATACAACATTGTCTGCTACCATATATTTATAGTTTTACATAACAATAGTGAAGTGCTGAATGACTTTTAGATTTACTTTAGCAATATGACATTTAACAAGTTACTTTACAGCAATTCAAAACTGTCATAACACTTAGAATTAGGAAAGGCTTCCCATGATGATGACCCAATGACCCTAGACTTCCTTGTCAGATACTTCGGATTTTTTCCCCTTGAGTTGCTGTAGCAGCACTGGTCCAGGTAGCTAAGTTGGTAGAGCATCTGTCTAGAGTTTAGAGGGTCTGAGTTGGAACCCTGGTCTGGTTATTTCCACTGCTCTTACAAGGTAAAATGCCATTGACAGTGTGTTAATGGACATTCTTAATAATACTCTGCTCTTTACTACTTTATAAAGCGTTGAAAAGCTATTTTAACCTAAGCTCTTTTTAAATGGAGGCTGTGATGTTTAGGTAAAGAGAAATCATGTGACTTGCACTAGTCAAATGATCTTTTTTTTTCTTTTAAGCTTTCAATGTACTGGTGATCTATTTCTCTGTTGGAATCTCCGGAGCCACTGTTCTATAGGAGTATGTGAATTTCATAGTGGTGTATTATGATGTTTAATGAGGTAGCAACAAAATGACCCAAGATATTCATGGGGCAATGAATAGGACAACAAACACGATGACAAGGGGTGTTTATGATGTATGTATTTTGAAAAGTGTGTTTATGATTTAGTGTATTTTAACTTGGTGTGTATTATGACAAGATGTGTTTATGACAAGGGGTCTTTTATGACAACTGGTGTCTTATGACAAAGGGTGTTTTATTACAAGGTGTGTTTTATGACAAAGGGTGTTTTATGACAAAGGGTTGTCGTATGACAAAGGGTGTTTTATTACAAGGTGTGTATTATGACAAAGGGTGTTTTATGACAAAGTGTGCTTATGACAACGGGTTGTCCTATGACATGGGGTGTTCTATGACAAAGCGTTTATTATGACAAGGGTTGTATTAGGACTAGGTTTGTGTTGTGGCGAGTTGTGAATTATGACAAGGTGAATAGTATCACTATAAAATACATTGGGTTCCCTACACTTTCCTCTGATAATAACCCAGTGTATCATTGTCTGTGGTGTGTTTCTTTGTTACTACAATCAGCCATTCTTCTCCTTATAGCTAATTTACATTGGCTGTTACCAGGAAGTTATATTCTATCGCCCAGATGTAAGCATAATAGAAATGGTGTTTCTGGGAGATATAATTGGTGGTTCATAGGAACATTCAGGGGTGCCAGGCTGGCCCTGCAAAGATGTCAATATGGCTGCTGTTTCCAACACTTCTCTTCAAACTAAACTGACAATTTCTGTTTGTTACCAAGGGGCACAGAACAGACAAAAGAAATACTTTCTTAGAATTGATAAAACAAGTTTCACAAAGTTGAAATTTCATTAACTCTGGCTTCAGGCACATTAGACTTCATAGATGTATTTTCTTTGTGATATTCTTTGTGATATGCAGTGAAACTCAATTACTGGAACATACAGCTATTTAGAATACTCATTTCTACACTGCAACTTGATAAAGTTGCTTGTGTATGTAATGTTGTTCTGCCATAGTTAAGTCCCCACAAACAAAACTTGAGGGATTAATACTGATGGCCTCATATCTGCAAGTAAATGCCATTTTCTGATTTGCTTATATATTTCACCTGTAATCAAAATGATAGTGTCGCCAAAATGGCTGTCAGATGGAGGCGTCTGATTGGTAAAAATTCAGGCATTGATTTTAATGAAATTTGGTATGTTAGTGTAGTATGGTATCTGAAACAATGGTGACGTCCATATGTTGGTTGGGGAAAATGGCTTACCAGGAGATTAATGAAAGGATTCATTTCTAGAGGTGTATGTGAGGGTTCCCTTCCAGTGTTAAGTTCATTGCTTAAAATTGCTAAAGGTTTAAGTCAGATGGTTCCACAGATCTTCCTGCCCTATTTTGAAATACTTTAATAAGCATCATTCATAACTGAAGGAGTCGTTTTGAGGACCCAATACCGTTAATTCTTGTTAGATACTTAAGATATAAGATATTTTTATTTCATGGACGACAGTGAGAGTTTTTTGTTCAATGTAATGTTAAACTATTTTATGATGTATGACATGTTTTCACATCCTATATTATTCTATGGTTTCTTTCCAATTGGTTTACTGGTTAGATTCATACCCTGATCAGATGGTGGTTATCTTTTTGAATCAGCTGTTGTGTATGTCCTGACTGTCTCTCCATAAAACACTTTTTGTTGGGACTGTTTCTCAGAAAAAAACCCATCCTCACTGAGTTCTACTTATTGAATAATTATGCAGTCAACTTTCACTTTTAGGACAAAGTTGCCCTTGGGTCCTAGTTGTAGTTGGATCATTTTTTTTTTATTTTGGGAAACAGCTTGGCAGAAAGTGATCTGCTTTGTTTCGAGGGTATATTCATTGTTATAGTTTCTGTAAGGTGAAAGTCATGTAGCTCAGGTTTGAAATTTTGAATGGTGATATTATAAAGGATGGTTATGTAAACTTTCAGTCAGTTCAAACAAAATTTCAGGTTTCGTTTTGATCTAAATAACTTTGGATACCATGACGAAGAAATCAGTCTGAATAAAGAACATTGTATTGGCAGAAGTTAGCATTGACATATCAGTATGAGGAGTGTGGATTGACTTAATATGACTATGGATTAATGTTTGTTAAAATTTTTATTATCAAAATGTGAAGTGAAACAATAATGTTCTTTAAACACATGCCAACATCCCACGGTCCGTAAATAATTATCAAATTTTGATTCATAGAAGTCTGACTGTATAACAGCTTCTATAGCAGGGAAGCTGCAAGCAATACAATATTGTTGGCATCAATGATATGTATACTTATAAAAGAGTTGATATGAGTATGTTCAAGGTCAAATGCTAAAACAGAACAACATATTGCACCAAAAGTAGAAATTGATAGCAGAAACTTGTCCTTTATCCTTGTGACAAGTGATAGTCACCAAACTTGTCTGTGACCTTTTTATGACTTGTGATAATCACCAAACTTGTGTTTTGGATGTAATTTATACTGTTGGTAATATTTCCAGTTGATTTCATGTCCAGTATTTTAACCCTGATAATCCATACAGATTTTCTGTGGCCTTTGTGTATGAAGGTACTTCAGCATTAGATGATAGGGAATGGAATAAAATACTGTAAATCGTTTTGTCTTAGAGATTTGCACTCTGTTTTTATTTTTGTGAAACTTGGAAGGCTCTGTCATGATGCCATGCACTCTGTTTTTATTTTTGTGAAACTTGGAAGGCTCTGTCATGATGCCATGAATTTGTATTTTCATGTGTAGAATGTGATCCAACAGTTTTTGCCTTTTTTGTTCAGAATCTCAATCTTGGCTGAAGATATCTTCTGTTGGATTTCAACTGATCCCTTAAAAGCTTGGTACAATTAATTTGGTCATGACATGTAGTTGTGATTTCCTGAGGAGAATTCAGTTTCAGTGTTATTTTTTTTTTTTTTTTGTATTTTTTTTTTTTCAAGAATTAATGCTGCTGTTTTTTTTTTTTGTTTTTTTTTCAGAATTTTAATCTTGTCTGAGTGATTCATCGGACGCTCTGTGGGCTTTATCATCTTGACATAAAGTTGTACTTTCTTAAACAGAAGTCTTGTTCTAATGCTGTATTTTCATGTATTTTGATACAGGAATGTCACCTGACAGTGAGACAGGAATGTACTATTTTATGCACTTTGGTACTCTGTTTTAAGTGTGTTTGTTATAAGTACAATTTGCCCTTTGATACTCTGTTTTAAGTGTGTTTGTTATAAGTACAATTTGCCCTTTGATACTCTGTTTTAAGTGTGTTATAAGTACAATTTGCCCTGTGGTACTCTGTTTTAAGTGTGTGTTATAAGTACAATTTGCCCTTTGATACTCTGTTTTAAGTGTGTTATAAGTACAATTTGCCCTGTGGTACTATGTTTTAAGTGTGTTATAAGTACAATTTGCCCTGTAGTACTCTGTTTTAAGTGTGTTATAAGTACAATTTGCCCTGTGGTACTCTGTTTTAAGTGTGTTATAAGTACAATTTGCCCTTTGATACTCTGTTTTAAGTGTGTTATAAGTACAATTTGCCCTGTGGTACTCTGTTTTAAGTGTGTTTTAAGTACAATTTGCCCTTTGTTACTATGTTTTAAGTGTGTTATAAGTACAATTTGCCATTCGATACTCTGTTTTAAGTGTGTTATAAGTACAATTTGCCCTGTAGTACTCTGTTTTAAGTGTGTTATAAGTACAATTTGCCCTGTGGTACTCTGTTTTAAGTGTGTTATAAGTACAATTTGCCCTGTAGTACTCTGTTTTAAGTGTGTTATAAGTACAATTTGCCCTGTAGTACTCTGTTTTAAGTGTGTTATAAGTACAATTTGCCCTTTGGTACTCTGTTTTAAGTGTGTTATAAGTACAATTTGCCATTCGATACTCTGTTTTAAGTGTGTTATAAGTACAATTTGCCCTTTGGTACTCTGTTTTAAGTGTGTTATAAGTACAATTTGCCCTTTGGTACTCTGTTTTAAGTGTGTTATAAGTACAATTTGCCCTTTGGTACTCTGTTTTAAGTGTGTTATAAGTACAATTTGCCCTTTGGTACTCTGTTTTAAGTGTGTTATAAGTACAATTTGCCCTTTGGTACTCTGTTTTAAGTGTGTTATAAGTACAATTTGCCCTTTGATACTCTGTTTTAAGTGTGTTATAAGTACAATTTGCCCTTTGGTACTCTGTTTTAAGTGTGTTACAATTTGCCCTTTGGTACTCTGTTTTAAGTGTGTTATAAGTACAATTTGCCCTTTGGTACTCTGTGTGTGTTTGCCCTTTGGTATAAGTACAATTTGCCCTTTGTTTTAAGTGTGTTATAAGTACAATTTGCCCTTTGGTACTCTGTTTTAAGTGTGTTATAAGTACAATTTGCCCTGTTTTAAGTGTGTTATAAGTACAATTTGCCCTTTGGTACTCTGTTTTAAGTGTGTTATAAGTACAATTTGCCCTTTGATACTCTGTTTTAAGTGTGTTATAAGTACAATTTGCCCTTTGGTACTCTGTTTTAAGTGTGTTATAAGTACAATTTGCCCTGTGGTACTATGTTTTAAGTGTGTTATAAGTACAATTTGCCCTTTGGTACTCTGTTTTAAGTGTGTTATAAGTACAATTTGCCCTTTGGTACTCTGTTTTAAGTGTGTTATAAGTACAATTTGCCCTGTAGTACTCTGTTTTAAGTGTGTTATAAGTACAATTTGCCCTTTGGTACTATGTTTTAAGTGTGTTATAAGTACAATTTGCCCTTTGGTGCTATGTTTTAAGTGTGTTATAAGTACAATTTGCCCTGTGGTACTCTGTTTTAAGTGTGTTATAAGTACAATTTGCCCTTTGGTACTATGTTTTAAGTGTGTTATAAGTACAATTTGCCCTTTGTTTTAAGTGTGTTTTAAGTGTGTTATAAGTGTGTTACAATTTGCCCTTTGGTACTTTGCTGTTTTAAGTGTGTTATAAGTACAATTTGCCCTTTGATACTCTGTTTTAAGTGTGTTATAAGTACAATTTGCCCTTTGATACTCTGTTTTAAGTGTGTTATAAGTACAATTTGCCCTTTGGTACTATGTTTTAAGTGTGTTATAAGTACAATTTGCCCTGTGGTACTCTGTTTTAAGTGTGTTATAAGTACAATTTGCCCTTTGGTACTCTGTTTTAAGTGTGTTATAAGTACAATTTGCCCTTTGGTACTCTGTTTTAAGTGTGTTATAAGTACAATTTGCCATTTGGTACTCTGTTTTAAGTGTGTTATAAGTACAATTTGCCCTTTGGTACTATGTTTTAAGTGTGTTATAAGTACAATTTGCCTTGTGGTACGATGTTTTAAGTGTTTTATAAGTACAATTTGCCCTGTGGTACTCTGTTTTAAGTGTATTATAAGTACAATTTGCCCTTTGGTTTTATGTTTTAAGTGTGTTATAAGTATAATTTGCCCTCTGGTACTCTGTTTTAAGTGTGTTATAAGTACAATTTGCCCTCTGGTACTCTGTTTTAAGTGTGTTATAAGTACAATTTAATTTCAGGGTTATCCTGGTGTCAAGGGTATCAAGGTAGTACCATTTTTACCTGCATGAGTCAATTCACAGGAAACTAGTCATGTGAATGATAAACATATTTCTTAGTAATTTCTGTATCAAATCCGGTCAAATCTCTTTCAATTTTCGTTTCTAAATAAGTCAAAAATGTACATATAGATATGGAGATTATATTTGTTTACTTCCTGTTCTCGGTCCAGGGAGATTCTCATCTAATATTTTATTGTTAGGCCAAAAATTATAAACAAATACTTTGTATATATAAAGTGCGAGTATTGGCTAAGATAGATTTTGTAAGCCTATTATGTCCCATACTTGACTGAATATTACATTGATCATTAAAGTAAATGGTTCTTGATATTGTTCTCATTGTGTTTGATTTTGACCTCCAAATTACCACCATGACCTTGTACATCGTCAGTGTATGAACTTTCCGTTGCAGGGATATAAAGGCAGCAGAGGACCTATGGGTTTCCGTGGTTACGCAGGATTCCCGGTTTGTCTTTGGTCTTTTGAATGTTTCGTTTTCCCTTTCCTGTTGTATTCAGTTGAATTTCTCCACTTTATCATTTGTTCCTACTACCAATCTCGTATGTCCACTTGGCCTGGTCCTGCTTTGTTATGGGTCATTTGAATGTCTTGTATTCCTGATTATGTCCAGTCAAACCTATATTGGCTTTTTCTGCGTCTTATCTTTAATTTTGGAATATTTCACTGCATGGTCATCCTTTTAAGCTATTTCATTCTAGCCTATCTCTTACAATTTTTTGTAATCCTTGCATGACATGAATGAAATACAGATTTCAATTTTTGTCATATTAAGGCCTTAAATGCTGACCTTTCAAGGCCATTTGCTATCCTGGGAACCTTTTGTTGCTTTATATGCTTCAATGCATTGATTATCCTTTCTAGGACATCCATATCATGTAAATGCTTTCCTGGTTTGAAGGTTTAAGGTCAAGGTCATTGACATAAGAAATAGAAAGTTAGCATGTGCACAAAAATTTAAGTACTCTTTGGCTGATCAAAGTCAAAGTTTCATACCAAAGTACTTTCATGTTGCTTTTTATAATCTCTTCTGTTGGCACTAAACTTACACATCCAGCCTTGGAATACAGGTCTGAAGCATTGAAGAATTGCTGTTAAAAATGTATGTTGCCACATACAACTATTGTATGAACTAAGGCCAAGTGCCACTTATATTTGTCAGTATGAACGAAAAAACTATCAGATGCCATTATGTACGTCAGTGTCCAGTCCAGTAAGTATGAATGAAACACTACCAGATGCTATTTGTACATCAGTGTCTGATCCTTCGAGAATGAAACACTCTCAGATACTATTTGTACATCAGTGTCTGATCCTGTGAGAATGAATGAAACACAACCAGATACTATTTGTACATCAGTGTCTGATCCTGTGAGAAAGAATGAAACACTCTCAGATACTACTATGTACATCAGTGTCTGATCCTGTGAGAAAGAATGAAACACTCTCAGATACTATTTGTACATCAGTGTCTGATCCTGTGAGAATGAAACACTACCAGATACTATTTGTACATCAGTGTCTGATCCTGTGTGAATGAAACACTACCAGATACTATTTGTACATCAGTGTCTGATCCTGTGAGAATGAATGAAACACAACCAGATACTATTTGTACATCAGTGTATGATCTTGTGAGAATGAAACACTACCAGATACTATTTGTACATCAGTGTCTGATCCTGTGTGAATGAATGAAACACTACCAGATACTACTTGTACATCAGTGTCTGATCCTGTGAGAAAGAATGAAACACTACCAGATACTATTTGTACATCAGTGTCTGATCCTGTGAGAATGAATGAAACACAACCAGATACTATTTGTACATCAGTGTCTGATCTTGTGAGAATGAAACACTACCAGATACTACTATGTACATCAGTGTCTGATCCTGTGAGAAAGAATGAAACACTACCAGATACTATTTGTACATCAGTGTCTGATCCTGTGAGAATGAATGAAACACAACCAGATACTATTTGTACATCAGTGTCTGATCCTGTGAGAATGAATGAAACACAACCAGATACTATTTGTACATCAGTGTCTGATCCTGTGAGAAAGAATGAAACACTACCAGATACTATTTGTACATCAGTGTCTGATCCTGTGAGAATGAATGAAACACAACCAGATACTATTTGTACATCAGTGTCTGATCTTGTGAGAATGAAACACTACCAGATACTATTTGTACATCAGTGTCTGATCCTGTGAGAATGAATGAAACACACCAGATACTATTTGTACATCAGTGTCTGATCCTGTGAGAATGAATGAAACACAACCAGATACTATTTGTACATCAGTGTCTGATCCTGTGAGAATGAATGAAACACTACCAGATACTATTTGTACATCAGTGTCTGATCCTGTGAGAATGAATGAAACACTACCAGATACTATTTGTACATCAGTGTCTGATCCTGTGTGAATGAAACACTACCAGATACTATTTGTACATCAGTGTCTGATCCTGTGAGAATGAAACACTACCAGATACTATTTGTACATCAGTGTCTGATCCTGTGAGAATGAAACACTACCAGATACTATTTGTACATCAGTGTCTGATCCTGTGAGAATGAATGAAACACAACCAGATACTATTTGTACATCAGTGTCTGATCCTGTGTGAATGAAACACTACCAGATACTATTTGTACATCAGTGTCTGATCCTGTGAGAAAGAATGAAACACTACCAGATACTATTTGTACATCAGTGTCTGATCCTGTGAGAAAGAATGAAACACTACCAGATACTATTTGTACATCAGTGTCTGATCCTGTGTGAATGAACGAAACACTACCAGATACTACTATGTACATCAGTGTCTGATCCTGTGAGAAAGAATGAAACACTACCAGATACTATTTGTACATCAGTGTCTGATCCTGTGAGAATGAATGAAACACTACCAGATACTATTTGTACATCAGTGTCTGATCCTGTGAGAATGAATGAAACACTACCAGATACTATTTGTACATCAGTGTCTGATCCTGTGAGAAAGAATGAAACACTACCAGATACTATTTGTACATCAGTGTCTGATCCTGTGAGAATGAATGAAACACTACCAGATACTATTTGTACATCAGTGTCTGATCCTGTGAGAAAGAATGAAACACTACCAGATACTATTTGTACATCAGTGTCTGATCCTGTGAGAATGAATGAAACACTACCAGATACTATTTGTACATCAGTGTCTGATCCTGTGAGAAAGAATGAAACACTACCAGATACTATTTGTACATCAGTGTCTGATCCTGTGAGAAAGAATGAAACACAACCAGATACTATTTGTACATCAGTGTCTGATCCTGTGAGAATGAATGAAACACTACCAGATACTATTTGTACATCAGTGTCTGATCCTGTGAGAATGAAACACTACCAGATACTACTATGTACATCAGTGTCTGATCCTGTGTGAATGAAACACTACCAGATACTATTTGTACATCAGTGTCTGATCCTGTGTGAATGAAACACTACCAGATACTATTTGTACATCAGTGTCTGATCCTGTGAGAATGAACGAAACACTAGCAGATCCTGAGAGATCCCGCCTTGTAGATCAGTGTCTGATCCTGTGAGAATGAACGAAACACTACCAGATACTATTTGTACATCAGTGTCTGATCCTGTGAGAATGAACGAAACACTAGCAGATCCTGAGAGATCTTGTAGTTCAGTGTCTGATCCTGTGAGAAAGAATGAAACACTGATACTATTTGTATATGTCTGATCCTGTGATGAATGAAACACAACCAGATACCATCAGTGTGATCCTGTGAATTGGATACTATGTGTTGGTGTCTATACCAGATACTATTTGTACATATTCCTGTGGTGCAGGAATTTTGTACATCATGTGTTGTGTGAATGTTTATATACATGTTTTCCTGTGAGAATGCACAACCAGGAATTGGCTATGTGTTGGCTGTTTATACACTGTTTTCCTGTGTGAATGCACTAATTGGTACATGTGTTGTGTGTTTATATACTGTTTTCCTGTGTGAATGAAACACTACCAGATACTATTTGTACTATGTGTTGGCTGTTTATATACTGTTTTCCTGTGGTGCAGGAATTGGCTATGTGTTGGCTGTTTATATATTATATTCCTGTGGTGCAGGAATTGGCTATGTGTTGGCTGTTTATATATTATATTCCTGTGGTGCAGGAATTGGCTATGTGTTGGCTGTTTATATAATGGTATATATATGGTTTATATATTGTATCTCTATGGGCAGGATTTTATATCAATAGAGATATTAACATCTAATTCACAATTATATCATAAGATGTGTGTATATCTCATGTTTTTGGAATGTTTTTTTTAGCTCAAGAGGCCTAAAGGGCAAAGTGAGATTATGACAAACTTCTGCATCAGTTGTCAGTCCCTCACATGTTCCTACTAATTGGTACTAGTTGTGACTGTGCTGATTCTAACCAAAATTTGTTAGAAGCATCTTTGGTGAAGGGGACTCAATTTTATAGAAATAGTGAGTCTGAGCACCCAGGAGCAGGAGGGTTTGGGTCCAAATGGGGAAATTTAGTTCATTTTTTTAAATCTTTCTTTTGTAAGAAAGATTGTCATTAGATTTTGTTCAAATTTGACCTGAAATATTCTTAAGTGAAGAGAACTCTATTTTGTGTCAACAGTGTTTCTTACAATACAAGGCAGGGACCAATTGAGAAAATAGAGCAAGTTCTTTAAGATCCTTCTGCTTCTGTAGGAATACCTGCATTTGGTTGCATTTTGTCTGAAGCATGCTTGATTGGCTAATAAACCTTTTAGAACTGTTTTTCCATTAGTTTAGATTAAGCCCTTTCAGTCTGACAAAATCAGTTGACTGATACAGGCCTGATAGACCTCTTATTGTAGATCTGATGTGGCATACCTTAACTGATGATAGAGTATATATCATTAACAGTAAGTCTCCTGCTGTTTTATATATCTAATGCAAGTAGAATCTTAGGAATATTTACTGTGATTAAAACAGAGGAACAAGGTCTAAACTACAGCATATTTACAACTCTTATTTAACAGAAATCAGATGAGAAATGTTGATGCCTGCCATATTATCACATTTATGTACATCTAGGCAAACCTTTTCTCCTAGTGTAAATGTACACTAATTGCGCAAGAATTTAAATAACTATCTAGTCCGCTAACCATTTAGCTCAATTTTGGTTGATATGCATCATATGATTGGGCCTGAAATAAATATTTCTAGAGAATTTGCCCAACATTGTCAGGTTGTGTGGTAAGGTCAAACTCCCAGATATAGAGGCCCTTGTGTCAGGGAAATAGTGAGATGTGTTTCCCTGATTGGTAGAGAGAGGGGAAAAAAAGTTGAACTGCTTTCTGTGAAAAATATTTCAGTTTTTGTTGAAAGATATGAAAATTACATACAATTTAATCATTATTTACTGAAATAACTACATTGAAGATAGGATAGGGATCAGTGTAATTAGTATTATATGGTGTAATGGAACAATTCCCACACCACAGCATACCACAAGATTTACCAGGAAATAGGAGAGAGGGTAGCTTTCATTTATTCTGTAATGGAGAGTTTCAAGACTGAACTTAATATTGATGAACATATATTGATAAGATATTTGATATTCAATGTTTCTCACTAAAAGATACGTCAACATTTCACCTGTTATAATTGATACTGCTTGTTTATTGCAGGGACCAATTAGCAAGGGAAATCAAGTAAGTTTGTACTTACGTGTCTGTAGGAATATTAACTCTCATATTCAGATTTAATTAGTTCACCTTAGAAACAGTTCAGTAAGATGCTATGCACTTGTGTCTTTTGTACAATATCAGAGTTAATTACTTATGGAATATGTGACAATGCTAGAGTTGGTTAGAGAAGATAGATGTCTATATATAGATGTAACAGGTATGGATTTACAACTTAACATATTTTACTGTTGATATTTAGATAATTGTCATCAACTTTTATTTTGAAGGGCTCTCAAGGTTTACCTGGAGCTAAAGGAGATAAGGTATGTATTACAAGGTGTCCCAGAAGTTCTACAAATAGTTACACACCTGTCTTGTAACTATGGTTAAAATAGTTGAGAAGCATCTTGTGACTAAGGGTAGAATTGTTGAGAAAGTGTCAAGTACGGTAACTATGGGCAGAATGATTGGGAAAGTGTCATGTAACTTTATGGACAGAATGGATGGGAAAGTGTCATGAAACTTTATGGACAGAATAGTTGGAAAAGTGTCATGTAACTATGGGCAGAATGGTTGGAAAAGTGTCATGTAACTATGGGCAGAATAGTTGGAAAAGTGTCATGTAACTATGGGCAGAATGGTTGGAAAAGTGTCATGTAACTATGGGCAGAATAGTTGGAAAAGTGTCATGTAACTATGGGCAGAATGGTTGGAAAAGTGTCATGTAACTATGGGCAGAATAGTTGGAAAAGTGTCATGTAACTATGGGCAGAATAGTTGGAAAAGTGTCATGTAACTATGGACAGAATGGATGGGAAAGTGTCAAGAAACTATGGGCAGAATGGATGGAAAAGTGTCATGTAACTATGGGCAGAATGGTTGGGAAAGTGTCATGTAACTATAGGCAGAATGGTGGGGATAGTGCCCTGTAACTATGGGTAGCAAGATTACCCAAACTCTTTGTTTTTACCTCAAATTATTTCTACTAGTAAGAGATATGCCCACTTGCACAAAGCTGGAGGGGAAAAATCAAATGTTGTTTTCTGTTTTCTGCTTTTTATCCGTCATCAATTGTTGATGCCCATAGACGATTTCTAACTTTAGCAGGAACCTTTCTTAGTCATAAAAGAGAGACAAGTTGACTGAAGTTTAAAATATTCTTCTTTTTAAGTTGCAGGTAAGGTAAAATCAAATACTATTGCATGGATGGAAGTGCCGAAGTACTTTTATCAAATTTGTTATTTTCATGACCCTAGGCTCCACGTTTGGCCCTGGGTTAGGGAAAAGATTTAAAAAGATAACTTATATAATTGTTTGTGATTCCTTAGGGAGGACCAGGCCCCAAGGGAGAGAAAGGAAATGAAGGACTGCCTGGATTTGATGGTGCTCCTGGACCAAAGGTTGTGTATGGATTACTGCTAATGGTATCAAGGTCCTGGTCTAACAAAAATTAATTCTTAGAAATCTAAAGAAGATTTTCAGAAGTCTTTACTAGACTGAATATAACATGTTGAATTTTATTTCATTTTTTTCTGGTAATTGTATATATTCATTTGACTGGCCTAATCATGTTCTGATTTCTATGTTAATCTGCCACTAATAAGGGATGAAGGGGCTTCAGAAACTACGCTATAATGGTGGCGGGGAAATTTTCTCTTGCTGACTAACTTTAACACTGAGCTGTGATTAATATTACTGTATCTTTCCTATGATGCATGTGCTTGTCCAGGGTATCAAGCGATCTGTGCGATTCCACGAGGGCCTAAATACGGGATACAAAGATATCATACCTCTCAAGGTAAGGCGTCCAGATGTCACCAAAGGAACATTGTAGTTCGTACTTTATGTTTGTCTGAATATCAGAGTGATTCACTCTCACGGTCTAACAGAATTTCTGACGTCATTGATGGTCAAATTCTGAACTGTTTTGTTATGTGTTTTATAACTGGCTATTGAGACAAGCTTACAGTAGTGTTGTGCTATCATCTGTCTGCTGTCTATTCATCTTGTTAATTTCTTGTTCGGATAACTTTAATTTCTTATTACATCTCACTTAATTGAATACTTCAAAGCTTCATTATCAAATATACTGATACACCAATGGTGATAATTCTTTTCATTTACACTTTTGACACTACAAACTTATTGGACCACACATTTCATCAATTGCGGTGTGATTTCCATGAAATACAATCTTCGGTACATTTTTCCAACAGAAACAAGCAGTGACAGAATGTGATGCTCTGATATGGTAGTACAATTTTGATAACCATAACACAAGGTGCTGCTCTGATCATGATATTGGTTACCTAACTTCATACTTAGGATTAAAATGTAAAAAACACAGAATTTTATCAAAATTCATTAAAATTCAGTCAAATTTCTAAAAAAAAATTTTATTATGCAAATAAGTCTGCAGGTGAGTTGTTTTGATAAATAAACACTGATTTGCTTTGATAGGGAGGAGAGTACGAAGTGATTACAATTAAGGTTGGTATATCAGGCATGTTAAGTGCCTGTCGTTGTATCTTCATCAGGCATGCTGGTCTAGTCATTGCCTGTCACAGTATATTTTGCCATGGTGTTGAGTTTTGTCTGAGCATGTGCTGTGTCTCTTTACAATGTGATGAAGGGATGACTAATATCTGTTATGACCATGTACGTTGTTGATTTTTTGTATCCACAGCGAATACTGCGATGACATCTTAGACTTTTATACCCTTGTTTATGGTGAATATTAATATGGACTTGCCTACTTGTCTATGGAGAGTATAGCTAGTGACTTGCCTTCTTGTAAGTGGTGAGTATTGCTGTTGTCAATGGTGAGTATTGCTGTTGTCAAAGGTGAGTATCGTTGTTGACTTGCCTTCCTGGCAATGGACTTGCCTACTTGTCTATGGAGAGTATAGCTAGTGACTTGCCTTCTTGTAAGTGGTGAGTATTGCTGTTGTCAATGGTGAGTATTGCTGTTGTCAAAGGTGAGTATCGTTGTTGACTTGCCTTCCTGGCAATGGACTTGCCTACTTGTCTATGCAGAGTATGGCTGTTGACTTGCCTTCTTGTAAGTGGTGAGTATTGCTGTTGTCAGTGGTGAGTATCGTTGTTGACTTGCTTACCTGATAATGGACTTGACAACTTGTCTATGCAGAGTATGGCTGTTGACTTGCCTACTTGTCAGTAGTCAGTGATGCTGTTGTCAATGGTGAGTATTTTTGTTGACATGCCTACCTGGTAATGGACTGGCCTTAATGTCAATGGTGAATATGGCAATGAACTTGCCTACTGGTCAATGGTGAATAAGGCAATGAACTTGCCTACTTGTCAATAGTGAATAAGGCAATGAACTTCCCTACTTGTCAATGGTGAATATGGCAATGAACTTGCCTACTTGTCAATGGTGAATATGGCAATGAACTTGCCTACTTGTCAATGGTGAATATGGCAATGAACTTGCCCACTTGTCAATGGTGAATATGGCAATGGACTTGCCTACTTGTCAATGGTGAGTATAGATACATTGACCTGCCTATTTGTCAGTGGTGAGTATAACTATTGAATTGCCAACTTGTTTCGTGGTGAGTATTGTTGTGGACGTGCCTACTTGTCAGTGGTGAGTATGGCTGTGGTGAGAATAACAATTGATTTGCCTAGTTGCCTGTATTGAGAATGACTATTGACTTGCCTACTTGTCAGTGGTGAGTATGGCTGTAGTGAGAATGACTATTGACTTGCCTACTTGTCTATGGTGAGTATTGTTATGAACTTGTTTACCCTTGTGTGTAGTGATGACATCTAATGACATGCATGCTTTTATCCACTTTTATTATTCAACCATTTTCAAATTTTGCTTGTGCCAGTCTCCAGTTCATACTTTCTTCTTTCACTCTCTGCTAACTAACCACTTCTAACTTTGTCTACAGATTTAAGGCACTATATTGGGGTCTCTCAATGACATCAGCATCTACCAAACTACAGTCATATAGTAACATAAAATAAGAAAATTGTTGCTTTTCAGAAACATTTATGATATAATAGTAGTATAAATCAACAGCACAATTTCTAATATCTTGTTAATCTGAAATATAATAGAGTAGTCAGTCACCATCTTGGATTACTACACAAAAAGTTTTTAAACTAAATTCTATTTGCATGAAACCTCCTTCAATACTTGAATTCTTTGTCTTTTTTGAAACTTAATGAAAATACTCAAAGTTTGATTCATTCCTGCAATACATTTTTAACCCAATCATTAATTCAATACCATCTTAAATATTCATCCTTAATTGTGGCATACTGGGGTCTTAGTCTCTATAGAAACATTGTACCGATTGATGATTTTGATAATGGCAGGTGCTTGTGTACTTTGATACATATTGAATTATTTGATATTGAAAGTAAAGTATGTTTCTTTGTTATCTGTAAATATTTACATATATTTTGCTATACATGTGACATATTCACTTCCATTTAAGGCGTAAAATGATTTATTGAATAATTGATTTATTTCTTTGTGATGATTTTGCATGACACTGTTCTCACCATTGCAAAAACTCTAATTGATAAACAAACTTTTATGCAGATCCTTGTTTTAGCATTTTACATTTGCACCTGAATGAGATATTGCATGTTATGTTGTGAATGGTAGACTGTAGCATGACTATTGTGGTTTGTAGGGACCGCGTGGCCCCAAAGGATTTCCTGGGGGCTTGGGAGAGAGTGATGAAGCACAGCTTACCTTACTTAAGGTACACAGACACACCATTAAGGTTCAATGCTATATACCCTTACACCAGAGAGATAACAAATATTTCACTATCACAGATAGTAGTACAATCACCAGTAGTTAGTCACAGAAAGTACTACAGACACCAGTAATTACAGTCACCGATAGTTAGTACTACAGACACTAGTAATTACAGTCACTGATAGCTAGTACTACAGACACCAGTAATTACAGTGACATGATAGTTAGTACTACAGACACTAGTAATTACAGTCACTGATAGCTAGTACTACAGACACCAGTAATTACAGTGACATGATAGTACTATAGACATCAGTAATTACAGTGACATGATAGTACTATAAACACCAGTAATTACAGTCACTGATAGTACTATAGACACCAGTAATTACAGTGACATGATAGTACTATAGACATCAGTAATTACAGTGACATGATAGTACTATAGACATCAGTAATTACAGTGACATGATAGTACTATAGACATCAGTAATTACAGTGACATGATAGTACTATAAACACCAGTAATTACAGTCACTGATAGTACTATAGACACCAGTAATTACAGTCACTGATAGTACTATAGACACCAGTAATTACAGTCACTGATAGTACTATAGACATCAGTAATTACAGTGACATGATAGTACTATAGACACCAGTAATTACAGTCACTGATAGTACTATAGATAGTAATTACAGTGACATGATAGTACATATAGACACCAGTAATTACAGTAGACATGACACCAGTACTGATAGTACTATAGACACCAGTAATTACAGTGACATGATAGTACTATAGACACCAGTAATTACAGTGACATGATAGTACTATAGACACCAGTAATTACAGTCACTGATAGTACTATAGACACCAGTAATTACAGTGACATGATAGTACTATAGACACCAGTAATTACAGTGACATGATAGTACTATAGACACCAGTAATTACAGTGACATGATAGTACTATAGACACCAGTAATTACAGTGACATGATAGTACTATAAACACCAGTAATTACAGTCACTGATAGTACTATAGACACCAGTAATTACAGTGACATGATAGTACTATAGACACATAATTACAGTGACAGTAATTACATGATAATTACAGTCACTGATAGACACCAGTAATTACAGTACTGATAGACACCAGTAATTACAGTGACAGTAATTACAGTGACATGATAGTACTATAGACACCAGTAATTACAGTGACATGATAGTACTATAGACACCAGTAATTACAGTGACATGATAGTACTATAGACACCAGTAATTACAGTCACTGATAGTGCTATAGACACCAGTAATTACAGTGACATGATAGTACTATAGACACCAGTAATTACAGTCACTGATAGTACTATAGACACCAGTAATTACAGTGACATGATAGTACTATAGACACCAGTAATTACAGTGACATGATAGTACTATAGACACCAGTAATTACAGTGACATGATAGTACTATAAACACCAGTAATTACAGTGACATGATAGTACTATAGACACCAGTAATTACAGTGACATGATAGTACTATAGACACCAGTAATTACAGTGACATGATAGTACTATAAACACCAGTAATTACAGTGACGTGATAGTACTATAGACACCAGTAATTACAGGGACATGATAGTACTATAGACACCAGTAATTACAGTGACATGATAGTACTATAAACACCAGTAATTACAGTCACTGATAGTACTATAGACACCAGTAATTACAGTGACATGATAGTACAATAGACACCAGTAATTACAGTGACATGATAGTACTATAAACACCAGTAATTACAGTGACATGATAGCACTATAGACACCAGTAATTAATTACACAGTTCAACAGAAGTCGACAGAAGAACAAGAGTACAAAACCTGTCATATGTGAATAAAATAGAAGTGTAGTACTCTCGCTGCAATGACCTTTCAGCATGTTGATATTGTTGTATATTCATAAAGAGCATGTCTGTAAGACCTACAACATCTACAGAATTAGTCAATATTTGAACATGAATTTGTGGAGGTTTGTAGGTGATACTCTTTGTTGTACAATGCATGAGTAAGTTTTGTGTAAATGTTGATATATACACTATATAACAGATCACTGATAATGTATTACATTGTATCTCAGATAATGTATTACTGTATCTCAGATAATGTATTACACTGTATCTCAGATAATGTATTACAATGTATCTCAGATAATGTATTACACTGTATCACAGATAATGTATTACACTGTATCTCAGATAATGTATTACAATGTATCTCAGATAATGTATTACACTGTATCACAGATAATGTATTACACTGTATCTCAGATAATATATTATTCTGTATCTCAGATAATGTATTACAATGTATCTCAGATAATGTATTACACTGTATCACAGATAATGTATTACACTGTATCTCAGATAATATATTATTCTGTATCTCAGATAATGTATTACAATGTATCTCAGATAATGTATTACACTGTATCACAGATAATGTATTACACTGTATCTCAGATAATATATTATTCTGTATCTCAGATAATATATTACATTGTATCTCAGATAATACATTATTCTGTATCTCAGATAATCTATTACACTGTATCTCAGATAATGCATTACTCTGTCACAGATAATGTATTACGCTGTATCCCAGATCATGTGATGATCATATGTTACGTTGTGTCTCAGATACAGATTGTCGGTTAATTTATTACGCAGTATCTACAATCTTAGGTAATGTATTACCCTATCTCAGGTCATGTATTACATTGTATCTCAGATAATGTATTACACTGTCTAATGTCATGTATTACATTGTATCTCAGATAATGTATTATGCTGATAGATAATTTATTACATTGTATCTCTGATCTCAGATAATGTATTACACTGTCTAATGTCATGTATTACATTGTATCTCTGATCTCAGATAATGTATTACACTGTCTAATGTCATGTATTACATTGTATCTCTGATCTCAGATAATGTATTACACTGTCTAATGTCATGTATTACATTGTATCTCTGATCTCAGATAATGTATTACATGCATCATAGACCTTTGGTCAAATATAACCTGGTATCTCAAATCTTTGGCAAAATAATGCATCAAATGAGATGAACATTAAATAAAAGGTAGTGAAGTATTTTTTGGCTATTGTTGATGTGTATGTCTGAACTGTTTTAGGGGGAGCCTGGTTTACCAGGCGAGCCTGGAATTGCAGGGCCAGCAGGACCTCCAGGTCCCAAAGGAGCCCAGGGTCTGCCTGGCTATGATGGTATGAAAGGTACCAAAGGAGAAGATGGTGCACAGGTAGGTATTCATGAGAGCAACGATTGGAAGCTATCTATGGTTTACTTTCATTGTAAAACTGAAATCCTAACAGACTGAAAAGGAGTATGGACGATGTGATGTTTTCATCATCAGCAAATAATGATGTCTACTCATATATGCGAATGAGAATTTAAATAAAGATGATGTATTTTGCCGGTTAGTCAATTTAGATTTTACACTCTTGTAATTCAGTTGTGTGAGTGTTTACATACCAGTGGTAAATGTTACAAATTGGAACTTGTATATACCAGTGGTTAATGTTACAAATTGGTACTTGTATATACCAGTCATAAATGTTACAAATTGGTACTTGTATATACCAGTGGTTAATGTTACAAATTGGTACAGTAGAAACTGCTTAATATCATGTTCCATTTAACAGGAGAAAATGTGATAATAAGTGGAATATGACATTATCAGTTGACTTGTTTCTTACATTCATTTTTCCTTTAAGAACAGAAATTTTCTGTAATTTTGTTTATTTATTATTTGAAATATCTAACCTTTTATTGAAATAATTGTTAACTTTCATGCCACATTTCACAGTTTACATGTCAAATTTGAACATGACACTTCAGTGTCATCTGCTGCTACTTTACCACATAATTCATTCATCCATTACTGTGTGGGCTTCAATATAGGACATCTTCAAACAGTGTATCTCTCTTCAACTTCGACAAAATGTGTTCTGGAGATCACTTTTCATCAGACGTTGGTGACAAATTAACCAGCTGAATGAAAAAATGTTCACCTTTGAAATGCCATGTTTCATTGGCTGTTATATTAATGGTTAATTTTAATGACCAATCAGATCTCGTGAAACATATAATCCTACAATCTGGTACTTCTACCATGGTAAATCTTACTAAAAGTCATCCTGAAATAGTTTCTGTATAGAAGCTTATTAAAAATTTCAATGACCCAGAAATATAAAACATCTTCATGAGGAAAAGGACAAATGAAGAATGGTATTCCAAATGACCATATCGTCATTCTAGTGGTTTAAAGATTTTGATGGCAGTTTACACAAAAGTCAAATATGAGAATACTTCTGGTTACATAATATGGTCAAGGGCATTATAACTGTTTATGGAATCCTGTTGAAACAGAGCTGAAGATTTACCAGTAAACTGAAATAAAACATTAACAAGACTGTCATGTTTCCCCGTCTTGTACATGAAGCTGTGTTTTACTTTTTTGGTGTTCATTTTTAGGGACCACCAGGACCAAGAGGACCTTCTGTGAGTACACATACTTTTGTAATGAATCATATATGTCTGTCTCTAAAGTCAGTTCAAACAAGTCTAGTTCATGTGTTATGTCTCGCTCAAACTTGTTCATGCTTATGTGATTCATTTCACTGTCACATGACTTCAGTTTTAAAGACAATTTAGTGATGTTATCAGAAACTGTTGTCAATGAGTTGTTATATATATATATATATATGTGATGTCAGTTTGATATGTTGTAACACTGTGGCTGGTGTATAGTTAAGTCTATGTATACTTTCAGGGCAGAGATGGACGTCCTGGAGCCCCAGTAAGTCTCCTACAATATATTTCTATATCTCTCAGGTCTCCGGTTATACACCACTCCATCACGACAAAATATCTGTGACCTTGTTTATTATCTGTGTGACTTTATTTTAAATAATCTGAGTTATTCCCCACCAAATATTGTAATGTTGTTGTCTGTCCATTGTTCTGACAATTCTTCCATCCATCCCCATCACCATTTCCTGACAATTACTTCAGATTAAGACCAATCAAACTCAAACTTCAAACACTACTTTCGGTTTGGAGATTATTTTTGGGGTTAGAGGGTTTGATGCTAAGATTACAAACTATAGAAAATAAAAAAAAATGGTTCATTTGGATGAATCCAACTCCATCTACACACATTGCTTACTTATTGGGAAGACTATTTTGCATCAAAAGATCAAACTCTTTTAATTTCACTATAAATAGAAAATGATGCCCTTAGTCTGAATCAACTCAAACTTTACAGAGTGCATAGCTTTATTTGGAATGCTTTTCGAGGTAAAAGGTCCAAGGTGAAGGTCACTAATTCTATACATAGAAAATCTGAATACACTGAATTAGCAAAGTTTCCTTAGACTGATCAAACTCAGTCTACACACACTGCTTTCCTTAATAACTATGCTTGTTATTTTCGGCATTATTTTGATGTTAAAATGTCAACGTAGGTCAAGGTCAGTGTAACTTTAGATAGAAAATACATTTTGACACAATAACTTGGGTTCTGCTGAATCCTGCAAGTTTCTTTGGATTAATCTATGTCAAAAATTACAGAACAATCCTTGATAATGATAGTGGGATAAGTATCATATAGTGGTGCCTTGTGACCTTTTTTTAAAGATTATACTTGTGACCTTGTTAGTAGGCTAGTTTGTTTGACCTTATTTTTTAAGACAGTCTATATGTGACCTTGTTTATGAGATATTCTGTGTGTGACCTTGTTTATAAGACAATTTATGTGTGACCTTGTTCATAAGATAATCTATTTGTAACCTTGTATTTAAGACAATCTATGTGTGACATTGTTCATAAGATAATCTATTTGTGACCTTGTATAGAAGATATTCTGTGTGACCTTGTTTATAAGACAATCTATGTGTGACCTTGTGTATGTATATAACTTTGCTATCTTGTTCTCACTTGCACCTGTGTGACCATTTTCAGCTGAATAATAGTGCTGTCAACTATCCCTATAAATAACTCTGAGACTGTAACTGTAGCATGTTCTGTGTTACTTTTGTTGTATGGATCAGATTCCCCCCCCCCCACCCCCCCACCCCCCCTTCCTAACCTTACAGAAAAAATGAACAGATAAATAATAAGTTATTTGATTTAAAGGAGCATATGAATGAAATAAATAATTATTTCCACACTCCCCTGCCCTATGTGATTGTTTAACCACATGGCTACAGGACAACAAAAAATCTTCTACACACTAAGTCAAGGGGAGCAACTCTCACATACATGGTACATATAAAACCATTTTAGCTGTTCTGCTTTAAGTGTTTTGTGGTTAACATTTGTAAGGAGCTTGTGTGTTGTAAATAAGTGCGTTGTTATGAAGCATGTACAGAGGACTAGACATGCTGTGGGCATGTTTGGTTGATTCTTGTTTTACACATATGTTGTGAGCATGAGCAGAAATCTTGTAATGTATTAGACATGCCTGGGTATTTATTGTCTACAGATTGAGAAGCATCTTTAGTTTGCATTTAAAGTGTCTTGGGAGAGACTGCATATCTTAATTCATTTTAAAAGTCTTGTTCCTTAATTTTTTTAGATGTACCTTTTACATTTAAAATATGTACTGGCTACATCCGTCTTCTTTTTAGATACAATGGCGAAAAATTTGTTTTTTACACAACGTGAAATGCCTTTATAGTATCACATATGTATGTATAAATGTTTGTCTACTTATTTCTATCAATATCTATAGGGATGGTTGACAGAATGGTCAACTAATTAATGTAAATAGGGAGGAATGATTCAAACAGATTTTGCATGTGGTCAGTCCAACATAAATCCAGTCCCCAATAATACACATCAGTACATAACAGAAGTATTCTGTTCCTAGAGAGGAGGCAGAGGAGGGGGCAGGGGAGGGGGAGGGGGAGGAGGAGGAGGATCCAGTCGTACTGGAGGTAGTGCTGGAGGATCAGAAACACAGTCAGGAGGAGGATCTGGCCTTGGGTACCCTCAAGGGTTCATTAGAGGCCTCCCTGGTCCACCTGGTCCCAGGGGTCCGAGGGTGAGAGAACCCTTTCTTTTAGTAGCTATATATGCAGGCCTCTTCCTTATTGCTGTATGCTATTTGTGAAATTTGCTGCAATCAGCATTTTCTAATCATTCCTTGTTGCATGTTTTTATCATGGAAATTTCAGAATTGTGTTCTATAAATGAAAAACATCATTTTTTTTTATTATTCCAAATTCCATTCCAAAATTTAATAGCTGACTGCAACAAAGTTCATATTTCTAACAAACTGTGACTGCAGCAAATTCCATCAGATAACAGTAGTAGCAATAATTACAGTTCATTTTATACTGGAAGAGGAACCTGCCATCGTTATTTTTTTGCCTTCATAAAGAGACCATCACACAGATGTGTTCTGGAAGTGAGGTCAAGTCGCATGAGTGGACAAGACCGTAATATCCCAACATCCACTGACGAAGAAAATCCTACCATGGAAACTGATGAGGAACAAGAGGAGTCGGAGAACACTTACGATAGAGGACCCCGCTCTGTTGCCTGGCAGTGCTGTAATAGGTTCTGTAACCGACAATTAAGACGACGTCGGCGCATGCAGGAACGCTCTACTACACAAGGGGGAAGCAGCTCATCATCAAGCGCTCTACGACCTGCGCCATGGGCACAGGTACAGACTGGTGATGGTACTTGATGTAGCCATGGCAATGGACAGAACTAACCTTGGGTGTCGGCTTGAAGACCTTACTAACACGAATAGTGACAAGAGCTGCAGTCATAGTGATTTGTAACCATGCTTAAGGGATGTGTTCAAAGGCTTGTTGTAACCAACTTGTATACGTTTTCATAACCTTGTACATGTGTCATTATATGTGTCATGTGCAACGGCACCAAAGAGCAATTACTTTGCACTATGACATCAATGGTGACAGATTGTTCTGGATATAATGTTTTTGAGGAAAGGTCTGAGTTTGATTAAGTTAATTGTTCACTTCTCACTGGAACTTCATAAATTAATGCTGATGACATATTCACAAGAAGTCTACTCTTTAGTCAAGTACATATTCCATTTACCAGAATGTTCCTCACTGCTAAACTATTGTTTAGTATAAACTTTTTAAAAAATTTTACGGAACACCTGAAATGAAGAAAAAATCACTTACTGCAATATTGGATACATCTGAGTCTGATAGTTTCCTCTGAGTATTATACCTGTTCTATTTCTAGGAAAAAGTCAATGAATCTTCATATTAATGAACCTAACATTCAGGTATCAAAGCGTTTAGTTTTCTATTATTCAAATATGAAGTGTAACTATATACTATATGCTTCAGAGCTAACCTATAGCTTAAGGAGTCTCGACCCTACATAATACACAAGTAATTCATCCAGTATTGTCGTGACTTTCTGTGTGTGTAACCAGCATTTTGCAATTGGTTGTAAGTTTCATGTTGCTTGAAAGGGAACTCATCTGTATATAGAGGGGGAAAATTATGTTGCAATGTCAACAATGGCGAGAAGAGATGAGAAAGGACGGTTTACCCCCCAGTATGTCTTTTGAAAGTGATTGTAATGTAAGTAGTATTTGTCACGACCAATCCTATTCCAGGCCAACAACATCAGTTGACATAAATGATCAGCACATTTAGATAAAAGCATTTCTGTGATATGTCATTTCATTTTTCACTCATGGTGTTTAAGGCTATGTGCTGTGAAAATATTTTAATTCTTAATATTGAAATCTGTCCGCCAAGTAAACCACTATATAAATATTGTTTTCCATATTTTTTTCATTATTAAAATATTTGTAAAGCAGATATTGATTTTTTTTCGGTTAATTGTTTCTATATGATTTCAAGAATTTTACAAGAAAAAAATTTTAAGTTCGAGAAATGTCAGGGTTTTTTGGACATATTTCCCCCCAAAAATATTTTGTGCAATGCATGACTTTTCAGAGAGTCATGTTCACATGGTAGCATAATCAATGTTGAAATTTTTAAAAAATCGTGTGGTTAATTGTGACCGGGTCGAGCCTCCTTAACCTTATCTATTTTATCTTCATAGATTTTCTGCATTGTATATCTTATCCTTATAAACATGTATTTACCAAAAATTGTTTTAATTGTTTTAAACTTATCAAGATATCTTTATGTGTTTAAATGTGATAGCTGGTAAGTCCATGGCCACTCTCCTACAGATATAATATAAGAAATTATGTCAGTTGATATCTCGTCTCAATGACACTATTTCACACCATAGTTCAATTGGTTTTTTTGTCAACTGAACCAAAAGTCTCATAGTGACCTATTGTCATTGTTTTTTTCAGTTGTCTTATGCTGTTATCTGTTGTCTGTTGACTTTTCACATTTTCAGCTTCTTCTGAAGAACTGTTGAGTAGATTCAAACCAAACATGGTCACTGGAAATAGTAACTGGATGGGTGTCAAAATTGCAAAAATTTATAGTCACGTGGGGCCGACAGTGCAGGGACAAAACAGTGAAAAACATGTTATAAATTCTTATCTTCTGAGAGACATAAATGAAATAAATATAGTTGTAATAGTCAAAATACTGAAACAATAACATTTTACAACTGTAAAAATACTCAACATTTTGTATAAGCATGTGCATTCGAAAATTTTAGGAAATGGTGCAAATATTGCTTTGGACCAAGTTTCAAGGCCATGAAATTAAAGGTCAGCAAGACTTTGAAATAGTAAATCTGTCAAATTTCTAGGAAACTGTCACCCTATTGTTTAAGCATATGGAGCTGAAACATATGTTTATGTTGCACAGAACACCACATTCTTAAACCAACACTTTGTTCAAGTGCCACATGCAGCTTATTTACGAGCATGCTAGGTCTAGTTTGGGAGAAAATTTGACTAACCAGAGAAAAATACATGTAGAGATTTGAACCCTTTGTTCCTTGAACTCATTTGACTGTCAAAGCCCATTGGGCCTCTTGTTTTGAGGAAAACGCACTTTGCTCAGTAGTTTTGTTTCTGAATTTCCCGCAACGATTTTGTAGTTTTGTTTCATGAAAACACATCAGGGTTTGCTCTTTTATCTGCCTGACACCAACCAGACTGCCACTGTTACAGTGAAGAAGAGCAAAGAGGAGAGACGCTGTGATATTGTTATGATGGTAAATATTACTATACTAACAAAATTATTACATATGATATTTATTTAACTTGGACAGGGAGCCTTGGTCAAATTACATGCCAGGCCAGATGGTATAGTGTACCTTTTTCGTCTGAGGTGTTCTTAAACTATAAGTATTATCACAAACTATCATTATATTATTTGACAGGAGCTAAAATTTTTCAGTTGAAATTTATAAAATAAGTGCAAGCCTTTATTTTCTATTTTGATGTCATTGAGCCACACTCTTGTATGTTGTTAAAAAAATGCTTCTTCTGCAACAACAGAGTCTTAGATAGCGCTATCTTAATGGAGTCTTAGAAAGCACCATCTTAACATTTTATATGCAAAAAATGTAACTTCTGACTTAGGTGACTTCAAATAGTGGTAATCAGAAAACATATATTAGCTGTTGTGAGTTCAGTTGTAAAATATGACTGCTAGATTCATTATACTGTTTGGGTGCCAGCAAAATGAAGTCGAAGGATGGGCTAATTACAGGACAGTTAAGTGGATTTATTGATAATTCTACCGAAATGCAATAGAAATGGATATGCTTATTAACAGACATTGTCAGAAAAATATGGTTTTTATAGGTTAAAGGAACATAACAGGGTTCCATGTTATAGTTGCTGGTTCTGGGTCTATTTCATTATAAGCCATCTGCGTAGATCTGTAAAATTGTTGGAGGTTTTAATATGTTAGATCACAAAAGTGATTTTAAGTGCCATCTGATCATCTGGTTAATATGTTTTACTTATCGAAATTGCCTTAATCTTCAGAGCATGTTTTGCATCAGGGTCAGTCCAATGCTTGTTTCTGCTATGTGATTTGTGGTCTTGAAGCATGTTTCTGTATTCTTTATATGAGATATTGTCATGTCTTTGAGTGTGGTTGTATCACCTTTGCTACAGTGTAAAATCCTTACTGTATCAATTTTGTAGTTGTCCCACAGGTTTGCTGGCTGTCTGTTTTGAGTCATTAATTTCAGTGCTTGATGTGTCAAGTTTCTCATGACAGGGTGAAATGGGTCTTCCAGGATCGGCTGGACACAAAGGCGACACTGGCGAGCGTGGACGACGCGGCAGAAAGGTGAAGTCACATTTCGTATTATCCAGAGCATCCTATACTAAGCATGTTTAATGACCAGTGTGTGGCAATCAATAGCTTCTCCTAGGGTGCTTTTAATGTTGTATTCTGCTCCTACAGACCTACTGTGCTCACTGTTTTACAATCCTTGTTTATAGGGTAACTGTGTTGTGTTTCAAGATATTTTTATATCTTTTTGTATCGAAAATGGGATTTAATTTGGAATCAAGTCAAGATCAGGTCTTATATGCAAATGAGGAACTGTTTGGAAATTATTACTTATGCTATAATTGAAGATGGTTGGCCAATCAAATGCCATGTAACATCTCAAATGAAATAGGATGTATCAAAGTTTATATCAACCTCTATGCTATGTTACATAATCCAAATAAATAACTTAAAAAGAAATGGAGATCATTTCTTAATAGAATTTTGTGAAAGTTTTAAGTAATTTCAAAAACATGGTAGGATTTTAGTAATTTCATATGTGTAAAATTTCAGTGACCAACAAGTTCAGAAAATATACATGGTTTTTTTATATACAAACATTTTCTTAAAAACTTTATTCATCTGCTGGTGTACAACTTTTTTTTTTTTTTTATCAAAACTTTTATTAACAAAAGACAATGACATATACAATACATACAAAACATGGACATACTTTACATATACAGTAACAATACAAAACAATTTTTAACATTGATATACCAATAATCTTGACATTAATACGATAACATATATATATATATATATAAATCACTACCTGATTGAGAAAGTAAGGCTGTCACTATGCTGTGTAGGATGTAGTTTTGTCCCTTTAAATGTTCAGGGGAGACCATTTTGCTTGATATTTTTCAAATGAATTATTAATTTTTGAAATAAATTTTTCAGTTTCATTTTGTTGATAAATGAGAGTTTTACATTCTGTAAATGTTGGTTGAATTTCTTTGTATCGGCAGATATAAATGTAATATTTCATGGTTAGGATCAGATGATTTATAACTTTTGGGCCCTTTTCACAAATGAAGAGTATGTCATATGCATCGAAAAAATCAATTTCAAAATTATCACTTACTGAATTTATCCATACTTTAAATTCATTCCAAATTCTTTTAACAATTACACAATTGAAAAACAAATGTATTAGTGTTTCAGTTTCATTTTTACAAAATGTACATTTATCATCACCAGTAATTTTGATTTTATATAAAAACTCCTTAGTAGTCAAAATTCTGTGTAGTAGTTTAAATTGAAAATTTTGCATTTTTGTTTCTATTGTACAGTATTTAGGTAATGTATATATTTTACTCCAACCTATCTTAGTTTCTATGTTCACATTTAAATCTCTATTCCATTTGGCTTGTTTTCCTACAGGATCTATTTTATGTTTGTTCAGTAAGTATTTATATACAAATTTCAAGTCATTTTGAACCATTATTTTCTGAAAATCAGATAAATTTGCTTCATCATTAGGAGTAATTATATCTCTATTTTGTCGTAACTCATGTAATTTATTTTTGGAAATTTTACTTGTCAGAGCAACGTATTGAATAAAGTTCATAGTAGGACATTTAACTTTAATATTTTCGAAATTTAGAAAATAAAATCTATTATCTAACAGGTCTTTAATCTTTTCAACCCCAGATTGTTGGAATGCTATAAATTGTTTGAAATCTTGAAATGGAACATAGTTTAATATATTTTCATGTAATAAGTCTATAGCTTTATCTTGGGATTTTTAAAAATCTATCCATGCTAAAAGTGTATCTTTCCAAAAAGGATTTGATATTTTTTTTACTTATTTCGTTTAAAGTTACATTGTTAAAATTCCAAATTCTCTCGTTACCAAATTGATTAAGTAAGGTTTTAGTCAAAGTTTGCCATTGGCCATCACCTGTGTATAATCTTTTTAACCATTTTACCTTTAAGTATTTAATAAAGCTTTCTATGTGTATCATTTTCAAGCCACCTTCATCATTATCAAGTATCAAAGTGTTTCTTTTAATCCTATCAGGTTTGTACCCCCATATAAATTTATAAAAAACAGAATTAAATTATTGAAGCCATTTTTTTCCTGGGTTTGGTAAAGAGTAAAATAAATGTATTAATATGGGTAATGCCAGTGTTTTTACGTCTCGACCACATACCTAATAGTTTTTTAATGTTAGTTAGCTTATCCTTAAAATTGATTTCAATAATTTCAGACAATTCTAATGAAAAGTTTATTCCCAAAAGTTTAAATTTATCAGTTGACCATTGAAGGTTAAGCTTGGGGCATAAGATCCTATCTGAATATTTATTTCTTCCAATCCACATTACCTTACATTTGTGTATATTAAGTCTAAGGCCAGACACCAAGGTGAAATATTGAAAAGTTTTAATTGTATTTGAAAGTGAGTTTTCAGAACCATCCAGAAACAGAAAAGCATCATCCGCATATTGCCCTAGTAAATATTCTTTGTCTTCTATTTTTATACCCTTGATTCCATTGTTTTTCTTGAGAGCTAAACCTAATGTTTCGACTCCAATTATAAACAAGTATGGTGAAACAGGGTCACCTTGATGACAACCCCTCTGTATATTAAAAAATCTGAAAAATGCCCATTATTAATCATCCTACTTTTAGTATTATGATAAAATGTTTTGATCCATTGAATAAGAGACTCACCAAAATTAAAAGACTGCAATGCTGTATATATAAATTTCCATTCAACTGAGTCAAATGCTTTCTCGAAATCTACTAATAATAATATCCCAGACCTGTTATTTTCCTCTAAGTAATGCATCAAGTCAAAAACTAATCGCGTATTTTCCCCAATAAACCTTCCTTTCATAAAACCTTTTTGTGTATTGCTAATTATGTTTGGAAACACCTGTTTTATTCTATTTGCAATTGAAGCAGAAGCAATTTTATAATCAATATTAAGCAATGTTAGAGGCCTCCAGTTTTTAAGATAACGTCTGTCTTTTGATTCTGTGGGAATACATGTAATTATGCCTTGGCATTGAAATTCTGATAAAGTCCCATGTTTATATGCAAAATTTATTGAGTTTTGAACAAAGTATTTTAGGTCTTTCCAAAACATTTTATAGAATTCAGCTGTTATTCCATCAGATCCCGGACTTTTCCCGTTCTTCATATTTATTAGAGCCTTACTACATTCTTGTACCGTAATTTTACCTTCACAACTATTTTTATCTGTCTCTGTTAATGTAACACCATGATTAAACAATGAAGAATTTATATTACAATTTTCTTTATATGTGAAGAGGTTTTTATAGTATAATTTTTCTTCTTCCAAAATTTGTTTATTATCTGTTATAAGATAATCGTTATTTGTTATCAATTCTATTATAGTTTTATTCACATAATTTCTTTTTTCTAATCTACAAAAAATATTCTGTACTTTTTTCCCCCATTTCATACCATTTTGCCCGGGATCTGAGAATTATACCATCTATTTTCTGTTTTCTTGTATTTTCTAACTCTTTTTTAACCTTTTCTAGTTCCTCTAATACTTCATCATTTACATTTTCATTAACTTCATCTTCCAACTTTGATATTCTAGTTTCAATATCTTTCTCGTTTTTCTTCTTTTCCTTTGAGCATCTGATTGAGTATTCAATAGAGAGACTTCTAATTCTCATTTTGATAATTTCTAAAAACAATTGATCATTAATTCTAAGAGTAATATTTTCCAAGTCATTAAAATCTCCTGATACTATATATTCTTCTACTGTGTCCTTTATACAATTATTTACAAATTCCACATATTTTTTATCTCTAAGTAAAGCAGAATTTAGTTTCCAGTACCCTTTCCCTCTATTGTTATCTTCTTTTATACATTTTAATATAATACAGGAATGATCTGTTTTGTACCCTGGTAATATATCTGTATCCGATACAATAGTTGAAAGTTCATTAGATATCAAATAATAGTCTAATCAACTCTGTTTTAAAGGATTTTTTCTACGCCACGTGTAATATTTTATTTCTGGGTTGTATATTCTCCAGATATCTATTAGTTCAAATTCTTCTCTCATTTCTGTTATCTTACTTCTAGCATTAATATTATAGTCATGCAATACATTGAAAGTATCCTGCTGTTTTTCTGAACTACATTCCAGTCCCCTCCAATTAGAATTTTACCATTTGTTAATAATTTGAGCTTATTATGAATGTTCTTAAAAAAGGATGGAGTGTCATCATTCGGTCCATAAATATTTACTAAGGTTAATCTAACATCATTGACTGATATATCTAACATAATGTATCTGCCATTTTTATCCACAATTTTTTTATGAATATCGTATTCTATTTTGTTTTGAAAAAGTATGGCAACTCCAGCACTTGATCTGCTACCATGACTGAAAATACATCTCCCACCCCATTCTGCTTCCCAATATGACTCAATTTCCACACAACTATGAGTTTCTTGTAAAAATACAATAGAGGAATTTTTCTGTTTTATCCAATTAAAAACATCCCTGCGCTTTGTTTTATTTGAATATAAACCCCGGACATTAAGGGACAAAACTTCAAAACTAGCCATTATCCCTGTATTTTAGATATAACAAATAAATACACAGCAAATGACAGCCCCCAAACCTCCTGGAAGTTGTCTCTAAATCCGAAACATAAGATGCAATTGATATGGTTACAGGTATATCGCATATACATACTAAGGACAATATAAAATACATACTTACACTTAACACTAACATCCTGATTGAAAAATGATCTACATGCTTCATGGTCATATTTTAAAAAATAATTTTCCATCTTTAAGATACTATTATATTAAAGTAATTGCTTATTAAATTATTTGAATGATTTAGACCTTTAAAGTTAGCACATTTCTCATCTTATATATATGAAAAGAAAATATAGATATCCTGATAGTTAGCCTACTGCTGACATTTGATAAGTTTGTACAATTTTTGGACTTTCAGACACATGTGTACAACTCTTAACTGTCTGTTTACTACTTTAGGGGAAGAAGGGGAAGAAGGGCAGAACAGGTCGTTCTGGGCCTAAAGGGGCTTCTGGCAAGCCTGGACCCTCAGGGGAAGCAGGTTCCAAAGGAGAAAAGGGGGAAATCGGGAAAAAAGGGTTTCAGGTATAGACCACTCAAACATGTATCATCGTCAATGCCTGACTGCATGGTAGATAAAGTATGGACGTCAGGCTTACGGGAATACTCATGATAATGTTGATGTAAATCCACACATTTGAACAGTATTTCTTCTACCAGTTTAATCCTTCCGTATTTGTAAATTCTTTCCCAATCCAAATCTTTTGCCTTCATGTCTATGGGTAATGTTCCCCTGATATCTTATTCTGCACAATTTTTAATATTCCCCTTGTATATGATTCTGCCGTAAGAAGCTTGTTCTGTTCTCCTACAATGCTGTCTGACCTACCAAGCTTTACCCCTGTTGATGCTCTCCCTCCCTTCTCTGCTTTCTCCAGGGTGAACGGGGCACTCCAGGCATACCAGGGAAGGATGGCAAGCCCGGGCCTAGAGGCGTTCCTGTGAGTGTGCGCTGCCAATATGGTGGTAACTTTCTCCTTGTTTGACTCTCCTTTGTGTTTGCACTTCCCTACATAGCATGTTGTTTCAGGGATTCAGATTCCACTGGTAGAAATCTTCCTTTGGTTATTGTATATTTACGGTGATGATGATTCTTGGAATCTTTTTGTATTTCTTTATCACTTATACTTTAGATATAAAATGATTGTAATTTCTACCTATAAAACATTTTAGCATTTGACAACTTGTTCTTTAATGTATATGTACATGTATAATGGTGCAGCTAGTTTATGCAGGTGTGTAATGGTGTGTCTTATTTATACACATATGTAATGGGGTGAATTCATACAGGTGTGTAATGGTGTGTCTTATTTATACCCATATGTAATGGGGTGAATTCATACAGGTGTGAAATAGTGTGACTTGTTTATACAGGTATGTAATGAGTTGAATTCATACAGGTGTGAAATAGTGTGACTTGTTTGTACACGTATGTAATGGGTTGAATTCATACAAGTATGGAATGGTGTAACTTGTTTATACAGGAATGTCATTGGTTGAATTCATACAGGTGTGAAATAGTGTGACTGGTTTATACACGTATGTAATGGGTTGAATTCATACAAGTATGGAATGGTGTGACTTGTTTATACAGGTATGTCATGGGTTGAATTCATACAGGTGTGAAATAGTGTGACTTGTTTATACACGTATGTAATGGGTTGAATTCATACAAGTATGGAATGGTGTAACTTGTTTATACAGGTATGTCATGGGTTGAATTCATACAGGTGTGAAATAGTGTGACTTGTTTATACACGTATGTAATGGGTTGAATTCATACAAGTATGGAATGGTGTAACTTGTTTATACAGGTATGTCATGGGGTAAATTCATACAGGTGTGAAATAGTGTGACTTGTTTATACACGTATGTAATGGGTTGAATTCATACAAGTATGGAATGGTGTAACTTGTTTATACAGGTATGTCATGGGGTTAATTCATACAGGTGTGTAATGATCTAACTTGTTCATACAGGTATACAGGTGGGTGATGGTGTGACTAGTTCATACAAGTGTAATGGTATGTATTGTTTATACAGGGTATGAAGGGTGAGATGGGTGAAGAAGGAGCCCAGGGCCTGATTGGCCGTGATGGACTGATTGGACCTCCAGGATTACCAGGGCCCCCCGTAAGTTTATCAACACTGTTGTGGCATGTGTTAGATCCACACAGCACAGATTATAAATCAGTAATGTTATCAGTGTTTACATGTTACTTTGTCTTGTGTCTTGTGTCTTTTTTTAAGTTTTTGTTATAGAGAAACAATAATTGCCTGTTTTATACCAGTAGTGAGAATGCTAGTCCTTTTATCAAAGGTGTAATGCATGCTCGTAAACAAGCACAAATACAAATAATTATCTCATAGCATCTGATTTTTAATGGTATCATCATCAGAAATCATTGATTTTGTGTCATTGTGTGACACTAAACTTGCATGTCTGTATTGTTATAATGTTTTGGTTGGTAGTAATGTGTATTTGAATTGATTTTACTTACCAGTTATTATTCCAAAGTTGTATTTCAACAATTACAACAGGCATGCTTTGTTATTTTGTTTTCCAAGTACATTCAATGGTATTAATGTTATGGATTGGCAGTGGAAGAATGATGTTTATCTAATGATACTTGGTAGTGATGGACAACATAACAGTCTGTGTGTGAAAGAAATTGTAAGCCCCATTTTTTGACCATTACTCAAGGATGTGTCATAACTGTGACTCAAGATCTCCATGTGTAGGTCATGATGCTTGGTTGTGTAGATTGGGTGATTAAGACCAGATACCACAGATAGGCTTCAAAACTTTCAATACATTTCTGTTTCCTTCAAAACCAGCAAAATCCAAACTTTACAGTTTCTTAATCATGTCCTGAAAAAAGTTCAAGAAAACGACCCTGAATATTCCCCATTTACATACACTTCATACAGACAAGGTTACTAGGATAACGTTAACACATATGTCTTTATGTATGTGTGTGCGTGTGTTTCTTCAAACTAAAGAGCTTGAGAATAGAGCCAAGCATTGTCTTTGGGTGTAGATCATTTCTGGTGAATATTATCAGAGATAAGTGTGGAAGGGTGGTAGAAGATTAAATAATCATCTTGCCAGCTGTATTGCATAATGTTGATGTATGGAGGAAAATTTTTAAAATTACATAATCATGTTTCAAAAATAGCATTACAATTGAACAAATGTTTGATGAACCTGAAAGAAGTGATGAATTTCCTTATCAAAGACGTTGGCATGCAGTTTGTGAGAGAATTATTCAATAAGGACACAATTTGACTTTGTTAGTAGCATGACTACAGTATTCATGTTTAAGTATATATCTGAAGTAAAAGTAATTTGAAATATTTTCCGAATTTCAGGATTAAATAACAATCTCACACGAATGCTTTATTTTGCATGCTGTCCTTGGAAACACAAGATATAGGTAAGAATTTAGGGGGTGTGGCTTGTGTAGCATGAGGACAATGTTCTGTTGTGTTTACGCATGTTTTAGGACATGATAAGTGCCTATTGTACTGCAAATAAGTGGGCCCTCCCCCAATGAAAAGACCATCTGTAGGGATTGGGCTTATTTCTGAGCATCCCCCATGAACATTAGTGAGCTTTAGATAATGCTGGGTCCCTTATCTGTAGTCTGTCAACTTTGACCATACATTGCAACTACTCATGAATGACTGAGCAGATTTAATGAAGTTTGGTCTGAAGGATCCTTAGGGAAAGTAACCAATTTCATGTTAATGGTGGGTCTGGAATTACAGGATATTGTCCAAAATTGGTCTGAAGCATGCTTTGGTGACGGAAAATCAGTTTTGTATAAATAGTGGGTCTCGGCCCCCTTGGGCCTGAGGAGTGGGGCCCAATAGGGAAAATCTAATTTGTTTCTCAGGAATTGCAGGATATTGTCCAAAATTGGTCTGAAGCATGTTTGCGTGGAGGGAAATCAGTTTCAAGTGTTGAGTCTCAGTCAATAGAAAAAATCTATCAATTTCTTTAGGCATGTAAGGCATTGCTGGGCTTTAAGATCCAGACAAGTGATACAGGCCCTATGGGTCTTTTATTATCTTGAAGAAGACAGGAAATGGTGAGACCGTGTGCACATGATAAAATTACTTTAGCTTTCATAGGTAGGAGATAATCTTTAACATTTGAGGCAGTTTATTCCTTTTAACTGGTTACAATGAATCATTTACACTTGTAATGGCCCCAGCATATCAATAAAGCTGATGCTTGTGGTAAATTAAACAACGGAAAAAGTAGAGACTCAAAATGGTGACTTTATTGACACTTTAGGCTAAATTTTAGTAGTGTATTTTTCTTTTTCCCCAAGGAACTGTTAACCTGGAAGGAGAACAAATCATAGACATTTTAAAAATTTTCCCTGGCCTGAAAGAGCCTTTGTTGTAATCAACCCCTAGTTCCAGGAAGCACACAAAAGAGGGGAGGGGGTATTTGTGATAAAATATGGTATTGCCATAGAAAGATGAAACACATTACAATATATTGATAATCACAGTCTGGCATCAACTTTTTCATCAAAACCACTTCCTCTATATAGCAACCTTGATTAAATAATGAATGACCTTGATGCATTTTCAAGGTAACAGGGATGAATGTTTAATAAGCAACAAGGTTTTGTATTATCATTCAGAACAACACAGGTATTTTAAATCTCTCTATCCGTAAGATTTCTGTTCAGTCATAATCAATTTCAATTCTCTCACTGTAAGATTTCTATCGAGTCATGATAAATTTTAGATATCTCTTGCTATAAGATTTCTACTGGGTCATAATTAATTTCCAACCCAACAGCAGAGCAGTTATTTTAGTCATAGAACAAGGTCATATTTTCTCTTAGATTACAAAAGCTGATAAGACAATTCATGCAGTAAATAACCTTTGTCGAAGTTCAAATTTGTAACCAGCTTAGTCGTTAGTTACTGTTTAACTATGATAAAAAGCTTTTAAGCAATTTCTAAAAAACATGTAATAGATCATCAGTGTGTGATTCTGTAACACTATTCTAAACTGGTAGGTTCATTGATGACTACACCATAAAAAAGTTCAACAATAGTTAAAAAATAATGATCCCCATGGTTCAGCTTTACTTTATATTTCATCATATCAATACTAGTGTTACCTCCCTTGTTGTCATTGTATTATTTTTATGAAATTTGGGCGTTCACTTCAAACAATAAGTGATTCGTTACCTATAACTATTATAGAGTGGTATAGTGATATTGATTATATGATGTTGTTTTCTAGGGAGAGCCAGGAATTATAGAGGGAAAAGGAATGGAAGGCACCATTATTCAAAGGGTTGTAAGTTTTTATATTTAAAAGATATATACAGTACCAATATGTTACTGTATAAAAAAAATGATGTTATAGTTTACAATATTGGAAAACATGAATGTAATATTATTTTTTATTCAGACCTTGTTCATAAAGAAGTCCAAATACGTTAGCAGTATTTTTGAAATTGAGAAATGGGCAGATAGTATGATATTGTTAAGATTTTTAACTAAATAATGATTTGTTTTTGTAAACATGTATTACACTATGATATAATTATATATACTTTACCTTCACAGCTACCAGGACCTCCAGGCCCACCTGGCCCACAGGTAAGAGGATGATGGTTTTTCTTTAGCATATTTAATAACAGAATTATCTCCCTTTAATTATAATTTGTGTACTGTATGTCTTCTCCTTTCATTGACCTATACTTGTTTATTAACTTCAAACCCAGAACCAATGTTATATGTTGAAAAATAACTTTACCCCTTCATTTTACCTTTATCAATGTTTGATTTATCCCATGTCCTGTAAGTCATGTGACTTGTTTTACCTCACAGGGACCCATGGGACTAGATGGTGCTCCTGGTATCAAGGTAACTTTACCCATAATATGTGTTTTATTACATGATACCTTTCCTGCTAACATTGACAGGTTCCACATTGTTGTCTTATCTACTTTAACTAGAGTATGATAAAATGCTCTCTGGTTTGATAGGATTGCAAAATTGGCTGGAAGCAGTAAAATATATTAATGTTGTGTTATCAAAGGTGCTGCTGATATTTATTATGTTTAAGTATCAACAAGCTATTTCATATTTAATAATGTGATAAAATAGCAGTAACCAAGTAATCATATGTGAGGTATTCTTATTGAAATTTGATACATGACAAAATATTTTCTTATGCTTTGAATGTGATATTGGTGTGGATATAGAGATGGTCTGTTTTGCGTAAGACGAGCCCTGTTTACAGTGTTAACATAGATTTTTCCCTGGACCATTCTATTTTATGATGTCTGGTTTTAGGGAGAGCGGGGACCAGTTGGACCAAAAGGAGGGGCAGTAAGTTATGAATTCCTAACAGGACTAATGCATGTCATTCCATATAGATATCACATCAGTGGTACATCGTGCACAAAGATGAATCAAAGTTAAAACATACATTGCTGTAAATGTGTTGACCTGTTATTTTGTCACTTGAGATATCAACATATGTTGACAATTCAAAGAATGCTGTAAGCTTTAAAATTATTTCAAGTTTTTAATTTGAAAAATAAAAATTTTAAGTGTACCATATATGACTGATATTAATGGTGTACTGATGTAATTGGGTGGTGATTGTTTCTCCAGGGCGATAAAGGCGATCGAGGACAGATTGGACCAATGGGATTGCCTGTAAGTCACTTGTATCTGTGTTGTCACTCCTGCAGTCACTATACACTCCAGCACAGTTGGATAAATGACCATTGATATACGTAGATAAAAGAAATTCATGTTGGGTAATTGATATTGGTTAACAAAACATTCATTGGTTAATTATTAGTTTTAAATGAAACAATCGTTCTGGCTCATCTAGGCTAGGTGAGCTTATGTTCTTGGTGTGGAGTATGTCTTTAAATCCATTCTACTTCATCGCCAATTTTAACCACATATCGTCATGGAATAATCTTTGTTAATAAAGATGGTAGTACCGCAGGAAGAGGGAACAGAGGAGGTCACAATGGAAAGTGAAAGTTATGCTTTAAAATGCTAGTTCTTGGTGTTCTTGGAAAATATTACACAGAAATATGATGATGCTAATTGCATTTTCAGTATGATGTTTATATAGCAATCATTGTAGAGGTGCTAATTCACTATTGTGCTAATTTACTGGAAAGTGACATGGAAGTATAATTTGATTGTGCTGTATTAAGTCTGTTTACAGTATTTAACTATCACACCAAAACCGCAAGTACTTGTTTTATGACCTAAAAGTATTAGAAAGGAAAATTATTGTAATAGGAAGGAGTGATGTATTACACTGTGTCCCGCTGGGACACTCTACCGCTAAACTAAACTATTGGAGGATAGTTAGGTGACATGTACTCTCCATCTCTAAGGAGGATTTCAATTGTCTATTTGAGAGGTCAATGGCACCAAATCTATAAAAAGGGGTAATGAAGAAATACCCTACCTCCACTGGGTTTGAATTACAGAACCCCGTTAGTCTTTATCTGGACACTCTACTGTTTGACTTACTGGGAAGTTCTCATAAGTTAACCTGTTATGTCTGCTTTTAGATTACTAGGATTCTGTTCAAAACAGCTGAGTTATACAGGCCTTGTTAGCCTCTTATTTAAACATTAATAAAAACTATTGTTTCTAATGAATTAAGATAACTTGTAATGAATGAGAGGGAACTGCCCTGACATAACACTCACATGCTAGTAACTTGAATGAGCTCATTTTTGTTACGATGTAGGGAGAGGCTGGACCACAAGGGGACAAAGGATCTCAAGGGAATGAAGGCAGTATGGGGCCGATGGTAAGATGGGTTGCAGGTGATGTTTGTGTCATAAGCCAAAACGGATTAAATGCAGGCTGTTGCTAGAATGAGTTATTAGCCCTATTGAAAGGCAAATGAGTGTTTGGTTAATTAAATTTACCCAATAGATTTCTGACGGTTGTACAGATTAGAACCCAAGGCCAATTCATATGGTTATGTGAGTAATTTAAGCTTTTATCTTACAAAACATCTCTATGTTTATCATTAATCAAATAAATATGACCTTGACCCAATTTAATGTTTACAGATTTGAGATGAATAAAAGGTGAGCGAAATTGTACTTTGAAATTTCATATGTTGCTGGTTGTGCCAACTTAGCTGGTATGACATAACATAAACTCTGGAACTCTGATGTTATTTTTGTTACAGAGTAAACAAACATTTATGCTTTCATATTTTGTCTTTATTGATATTTTGTTTCTAATTAAACTGATTTAGATTTTATGTGGCCATGGACTTACCATTTTATACATCATATCGTTCAAAAATTATTTGATAACAATGAAGAGTATTTTTTTTTTTTGCAGATGAAAGGTAAGTATATTTCTGTTGTTCTATATATATATTCCATAAAACTTTGTAATTCTCCTACGATGTATGTGTAATCAGACTTTGCTAGTCTACATCTTTAACATTTGAAGTCTGTTTTCTATTTGTGTATAATCAGGGCCCACCTGGACCATCTGGTGCAATCTTAACACCTGGAGGAGCAGAGGCCTGTACTTGTAAAGGAGAGAAAGGAGACCGGGTAGGCTTTCTGACTTCAAGATTTCAAAAGCATGTCTTAATTGAGCCCTTCTCTGAGCCCTTCTCTGTGGTGTCACTTTGTACTGTAATAGACACAGAATTTCTGCATGCTCATCACTGTTACTTTGAGCCTAATCTAATCTCTGGCATCATTGTGCAGCATTTGTAGAACATATGTTATAAGGCATTGTTGTGTAAATCCTGTGGAGCAACTTATTTGTGGAATTACACAATCGGTGAGCTTCATTATAGGATGCTGTGGTGTTAGATTGTACTATAATAAATCTCATGAACCCCCCAAAAGAAACTTTCTCCACGATACTGACTTCTTCCTGCATCTCTGTTCTGAATTCTTTGCCAACAACTTTCCAAACCTATGTTATCTAAATATTTCAGTTAATTGGACATTCAGGGATTTGTTCTCAATATCACAATTTCTGTACAAGATTTCGAAAACTGACAGAGAAACTTAAAATACATGGTCTATTTTTGTTTTTTTGGCAATATGATTTCTTAACATATGTCACACCAATGTAAATGACAATTTTTATACAATTCAGGGGGTGATTAAGGCCCCTTCCTTGGGCGTTTTGTAGACATAGTTGTAAAATATCCATTGGAAGTGCAATTTTTTTTTTCAAACTTTGTTGGAATTTGTTTTCATATATTGTTAACAATAAGATTTTTATGACATATTTCAGCAACAAATGATGGCTTTTGCAGAGCCCATGTGACCATTAAGTTTTATCAAGAGGGTTAGTTAAGGATTCACTGGTAGGAAACCCTCGGTACTTACCTGTCATTCTTTGTCAGTAGGATTGATCTTACCACTGAATTCATTACTGTTTCATTGAAATATCAGGAATTTCATCATGTGATCATCATAAATTTTTAGAAATATACAGTGTAAGTAGCAGTAATATTTTTGTTGTAGGGAATACGAGGAAAGCGAGGCAGAAGGGGATTGAAGGGTGAAATGGGCGAGGCAGTAAGTCCATTATTCTGTCAGTTGACGGCTGTAACTTGATGGATGTGTAAACCTCATGGAAGGCTGTCACAAACACTTTCTGTCAGCTATATCTATAGTTTAGATATTTCACAATAATAATTTCAAGAAAACATAGATCTGAAATGTAATTTCATCTATATCTACTGTTACATTATAGTATATATTCCTCCTATGCAAACATGTTTTATTTCTATATTTTCTCTGTGTAATGTTTACATTTTGTATGGTATTGGTTGTTGTATTGACCGATGAGTCTGTGTTGTGTACAGTGTTGTTTTGTGATGTCCGACTCTTGTTTTAGTAGGACATCAAGGAGATATGATCATAAAGTATCAATAAATATGTCTCACTGCAAGCATGGCTGAAGGGAGTATATAGGAGTCACTGTGTCAGTGTATCCGTTCATCCATGACAGTTCATAAAAACAACTCCTACACATTTGTTGATTTTAACTTGCCACTGTGATCAACCATTTGATAGGACTTTCAATTTGTAGGCCAGATGTATTACCTTGATTTACCTCCTTTCTATCTTAATCTCTTGTTGTTTTAGTAAAAAGTCGAAACCTGTTAGTACATCTCCAAAACGTATGTTTGATAGCTGTAACGTGCAAAGTGAAAGACCTTAATATGCAGAGGTACTTGAAAAGGATCATTGGCAATTGACTATTTTTTACTGGAGTCATGGCCCTTGAAACTTTATTCCGCAGCAGCATAAATCTTTTGAAATTTTTTCCTAAACCATTGCTCTTTCATAATATTTTTGTTACTTTATATAGTAAACAATTCTAATGAGGATATGGGCATTGATAAAAGAGTTTGTGATTGTGTGAAGTTAGAGCCCATGAAATGTTTTACATGCTAGAATACGACCTGTTACTTTATGCTTGATTTGTTTGCTGTTGAGTTTAATGTCCCCTTAACAACCTGGTCATTTTGATGCAAAGTCCCCTTAATTAGCCAATATGAGCATATCATTACTGTTGTTCCTACTGCAATGAAAGCTTTTCTATGTTGATATGCATTCTCTAAGTCATGCTTCCTTGAACTTTTTATATACTTTGTTATCATAGAAGGGCAATTTAAGTTCTGATCCTTCCAAGTCCTTTTTTATTTGATTTCGATGGTATATATCAGTTTGAATTAGACATTTTGAGTCTAAGGTTATAATTTATATAAATAATGATCTGCACAATGCTGTCTCCTTGATGTCCTATTTGTATTTTTAACAATGATAATGATATACCTGTTGTGAAGGTGAGATAGTGTTATCAACATTAGTCTTTTATTACCTTTGTAAGTAGTCACTAACATACTTATTATGCTTATTCTTTGATAACCCCAGTGACAAACAGTTATCTCACAAGGTGCTTTATACAGAACTATTTAGATCAATATGTTAGTTGTATATATATCAATAAGCTTCAGGTATTGTTGATCTCAACTCATCATATATTATAGTGTTAGGTACAATAAGTCGCAATTCCAAAATCACAAGATGGACAAGATCTATTGTAAAATGGTAAACATATCTTCAACTTCTCAGATTATAAATTTGAAAAAAAAAATGTTAAGCATAAAATATACTGTAAAGTCATTCATCTTTGCAAGGGTTTTATTTTCAATGATTTTGTGGGTAAATCTTTTTCCAGGAATTTATGTTTCCTGAAAAAGGTTTTTAAAAAAAGGACTTCAGTATTAATGAAGTTTGTAAAGTTGATTCATCACCGAAAGACAAATGTTGATGAAAATTCATTTTTTTGAGTTCAAAGTAAATATGATTCTACAGTACGTAAATTGTGTCTTTAAAACCTGTGATTACCCTAGGGCCAGTTAGAGTAACAATGTTAAAGTTAATTTGTAAATAGTACATGTATGACTTTGTGAGGACATATTATACACTACATGTATGATCTCATGGTTAGATATTACATAATAACACTCTATGAGTTAATATTACATACCCGGTAATATGATTTTATGAGTTAATATTGTATTTTATGCACTGCTGCTTTTTTTCCATCTGTTGTAAATAGTTCTTAGTGTATAAAGTGAACAACAAGGCTGATAAGCTAAATGTACCATGGTCAAGTACAGACATATATCGTCACAATTATGATATATACAGGTGTACAGGAACACAGGTGCAGACAAATGAGATAGGGTTTACATACATAATTATATCACATCTGATTACTACCTACCTAATTCTGTGTCAATCATCACATTTGAATGTTGTATTTGAATAAACAGTGGCCTTGTATGTTCATTTTATATATGTTTAACAATTCTGGTGGAGAGGTTTTCATCATGATTTACTATGTGTATACATTTACTTAATATTCAATGATGAAGTTGTCTAGAAAAAAATATCTACTGCTGAGAGAGTTGGAAGTTTTCCTTTATAATTTTAGGCATTATTGATACATTTTACTGTGTAAATCAATACTTTTTGAAATGTCATATTGGACTTACCATAAATACAGTAAAGACAACTTCATCAGGCTTACGGCTAACAGCTTTGCTTGATGTTGTATGCTAACATTTTAACACACAGGGCAGTCCAGGATTGGATGCTCCCTGTCCTGTAGGGGAGAATGGACTTCCCCTCGCGGGGTGTGGATGGAATAAGCCACCCTTCAAGGTATAGTAACCATGGTTCCTGTAACCATGGTGACACCATATTTCATTATTTAACAAAATCATGTACCATAAACAAAATTTTATGCCAGGATAGGTGTATTTGCTGTAAGGAAGTTTTGTGTGAAGTTAGTGCCCTATCCTGCATTTACAACCATGGCAGCAGTAATAATTATCTATGTTTCTGATAAAGCCCTGTCAACAACCCTGTATAACACTCACAGTGACCTATGTTTAGGAACTAATTACTGATATAAGTAATTAAATCCTGTGAAAACTACCAGGCTCTTATAAAGTGTCTGTAAATATGGTGTTACCATGGTGTTTTACTCTTTATGGGCTTAACTTTAACAGGGTTCTTTTTTAAATATCAGAGACAGATCCTAACCACAAACGGTGGAAACCCAAATCTAAAAACATGGATTTTGTACAGCTTCTAACAGAAATTTTGCTGGGCTTGTTTACTTTTGATATAATCTGATTACTATAAATAGGCATAATCACATTGTAAATATCTTGAAGACAACAAGTAAGGGTAAATCCAGAGATAAAATGTATACTCTAAATATGGCTAAAAAGCAAAACAGATTCACAAGTTCTTATAGTTTGTTAAAGTGTTCTGGGGCAGAAAACAGATTACTTCTGTTAAAAGTTACACAGAAACAGCAACATTTTATTTATTTACAACAATTGCAAACAAGCTTTAAGCTTAGATTAATCACATTTGTTGACCTGGAGGAACAGGTGTGAGAGGTCTTACTATTGAAGGACACTAGAGCATCAGGGGAAAAAAACATTGGTTAGGTAGTTTAAAGTGATCCAATACCTTTCAGCATCTGTTTGGGAAATCAAAATCCAAATGCTTTAGTGAAAAGCAAGTGTGTTCCCACTACACCACCCAACCTTATATTGTAGGAAGTATCCATCGTAAAACCTTGGTGTGTGTTAAACTGCTACAGGTGTCTATCATACTGCTACAGGTGTCTATCATACTGCTACAGGTGTCTATCGTACTGCTACAGGTATCTGTTGTACCGCTATAGATATCTATTGTACCGCTATAGGTATCTGTTGTATCACTATAGGTATCTGTTGTACCGCTACAGGTATATGTTGTACCGCTACAGGTATCTGTTGTACCACTATAGGTATCTATTGTACCACTATAGGCATCTGTTGTACCACTTCAGGTATCTGCTGTACCACTATAGGTTTCTGTTGTACCACTACAGGTATCTGTTGTACTGCTATAGGTATCTGTTGTACCACTACTGGTATCTATTGTACCACTATAGGTATCTGTTGTACCACTATAGGCATCTGTTGTACCACTTCAGGTATCTGCTGTACCACTATAGGTTTCTGTTGTACCACTACAGGTATCTGTTGTACTGCTATAGGTATCTGTTGTACCACTACTGGTATCTATTGTACCACTATAGGTATCTGTTGTACCACTATAGGTATCTGTTGTACCACTAAAGGTATCTGTTGTACCGCTATATGTATCTGTTGTATCACTACAGGTATCTGTTGTACCACTATAGGCATCTGTTGTACCACTTCAGGTATCTGCTGTACCACTATAGGTTTCTGTTGTACCACTACAGATATCTGTTGTACTGCTATAGGTATCTGTTGTACCACTACTGGTATCTGTTGTACCACTATAGGTATCTGTTGTACCACTATAGGTATCTGTTGTACCACTATAGGACCACTATAGGTATCTGTTGTACCACTTTAGGTATCTGTTGTACCGCTATATGTATCTGTTGTATCACTACAGGTATCTGTTGTACCACTATAGGCATCTGATGTACCACTTCAGATATCTGTTGTAACACTATAGGTATCTGTTGTACCGCTATAGGTATTTGTTGTACTGCTATAGGTATCTGTTGTATCACTATAGGTATCTGTTGTACTGCTATAGGTATCTGTTGTATTGCTATAGGTATCTGTTGTACCACTATAGGTATCTATTGTACTGCTATAGGTATCTATTGTATTGCTATAGGTATCTGTTGTACTGATATAGGTATCTGTTGTATCACAATAGGTATCTGTTGTACCAGTACAGGTATCTGTTGTACCACTATAGGTGTCTGTTGTACTGCTATAGGTATCTGTTGTATCACTATAGGTATCTGTTGTACTGCTATGGGTATCTGTTGTACCACCTTAAGTATCTGTTATACTGCTACAGGTATATGTTATACTGCTACAGGTATTTGTTATACTGCTACAGGTATATATTATACTGCTACAGGTATATGTTATACTGCTACAGGTATCTGTTAAACTGCTGCAGGTATTTGTTGTAACACTGCAGGTATATGTTATACCAATACAGGTATCAGTTGTACCATGACATGTATCTGTTGTACTGCTTTAGGTATCTGTTGTACTGCTATAGGTATCTACTGTATCACTATAGGTATCTATTGTACTGCTATAGGTATCTGTTGTATTGCTATAGGTATCTGTTGTACCACTATAGGTATCTGTTGTGCCGCTATAGGTATCTGTTATACTGCTATAGGTATCTGTTGTATCACTATAGGTATCTATTGTACTGCTATAGGTATCTGTTGTATTGCTATAGGTATATGTTGTACCACTATAGGTATCTATTGTATTGCTATAGGTATCTGTTGTACTGATATAGGTATCTGTTGTATCACAATAGGTATCTGTTGTACCAGTACAGGTATCTGTTGTACCACTATAGGTGTCTGTTGTACTGCTATAGGTATCTGTTGTATCACTATAGGTATCTGTTGTACTGCTACAGGTATATGTTATACTGCTACAGGTATTTGTTGTACTGCTACAGGTATATGTTATACTGCTACAGGTATATGTTATACTGCTACAGGTATTTGTTATACTGCTACAGGTATATATTATACTGCTACAGGTATATGTTATACTGCTACAGGTATATGTTATACTGCTACAGGTATATATTATACTGCTACAGGTATATGTTATACTGCTACAGGTATATGTTATACTGCTATAGGTATTTGTTATACTGCCTGGCTTCACTAACATATCTGCCATTGCTGGAGTAAATTATGTTAGTAGTTGTAGATAAACTAGCTTTATTAACACTTTATATTGTAGCAGCAGCTAAGGTTTGAAACTGATTTGATAATTTTGCAGATATCAGGATATCAGTGGTTTCAAATTGTTGCCTTTAATGTTTGATGGAGTTTAACCTTGGCTGAAAACTTGCAGGTTTTTTTCCGGTGCTGGTTGTGGTGAGCTTTTGATGTTGTTGACGGATGTACTGTTTACTAACACAGAAAGAGAGTGACCAGTGGTCAACTATTCTTTATTATCCATGAATTATTCTTGAGACTCCTGAGAGGTGCAGCATACTTTTGCTTGTAGGGTCAAAATGGATGTTCTGTTGACCAAAATGGTGATACTGTAGCAGGATGTCCATACAATTAGCATGTTTTAAAGAAGGCAGTTACAGGTAGGTTTACACATTGCTCTTATTCCTGGAATCTAATCTGGTTACACTTCAAGACTTAAAGAAGGGATAACTCATAAGTATCCATGAAAACTATTATAAATGTCATATATGTGAGCTTTTCGTCATCTATAGGTTGTGCTGTACACTCTTTTATTCCTTGTCAAGATCTATGTTTAGTGAAAATTGAAATTGATAATAATCATCTTTGTAGTTATATATTTTACAAACCACAGCATATCTTAATAAAAAGCCTGTATTACTTCCTTCACACCCCTGATAAAATGTTTGTTTTGTCTCATTATGACGGTGATTGGGAAATGAAGGGGTGAGTTTTCCTCCTTGTGACAGACTTTGTTAAGTGTAGATATTTTATTTACCTGCCTGAAAGCATCATTAGTGTGGATTTGTACACTACAATGTTTGCCCTGTAAAACTGCTGGCTTAGCAGGTCACCAGTTGTCATTATCCCTGACAAAATAAACAAACAGGTGCTTAGTCAACAACAATAGATCTCCCTCTGGGTTAGTGACATTACAAGCAGATTGACTTGGGCTCTTTTCTTTGATGTTGAAAAACAGGTTTCAGGTCACAAAACACTCTGGTAATTTGACATTTTGGCAGGACAACATGGATAATGTTGCCTCAACAATATTACTAAAAGGTGTTTAATTTACCTTTCAATTAGAGGTTTTAATGTTTGTTAATTGTATAAACTGTTTTCACTATCACCTGTACTTTTGTGTGCATATTAGTGTTCCATTTGAGGGAAATTAACTTCCTGTGAAGCTGTCAGAAAGAAATCACTCCATTTTTACTCCACAAAAGGCTGTTATCAGAGCAAATATGGCTTTTAAATTCTGAAATGGAGTGCTGAGCGAGCAAACTATTGTTTCATTGCTTGTATATGAAAACTAACTTATGTCTAACTTATGTGATTTTCGATGAAGCTGGACTGCGATATCTCAAAGAATCAAAATAATTGACTTGATTTTTTATTCTCCTTCCTTTGTAGTTTGAGTTGAATTTTTAAAAATCACTTATGTTTCATATGTAATAAACTTTATAATTCATATAATCACTATTTACTAGGACTTGGTAAAAAGTCTTAGAGTGCCAAAATTTCACATCATGGTTGCAGGGTATGGTGTCTACTGCAATACAATCTTAAACAGAAAATTAAAAAAACAAATGGTTTAAAATGAAATGAAATATAATTATATATATTTACTATCTGAATTGTACATAATTCCATTTTCTGTTACAATACTCCTAACTTTAAACCAGGTATTGTATCAGCAGTGTAGTTTATGTGGACCATGTGTGTCACTCATGAAGCCTGTAGGCCCTGGACATGTGCTTATTGGTGTATTATCAAGTATGATGTAACTTTTCCATATCAGCTAGGTGAATGGCCCTTACACACAATGAATAGCTAGAGTTTAATGACTGAAGGCTCAAACAACAGTTAACAACACAGTAATTCCGAGGTTCTTAGTTAGAAGTTTATTGAGGGAGTGACACAGCAATGTCCACTTCTAATCTAGTTTTGCTGATTCAGCAAAATGTCTTGTCAAGACAGGATGGTGATTTTGACTGACAAGACTAACATGGCCCCAATACTCAGGTAAAACCCCAACAGTCGACCATTCTAACAAGGTCCTTGTAGTCAGATATTACTAGCACCTGACACCTGGTCCTTGTAGTCAGGTAATACCCCAATACTTGATTCTTCTACCCTGGTCTTTGTAATCAGGTAATAACCGCGGACCTGATCTTTTCTAAGATGGTCTCTGTAGGCAGATATTACTCTTATACTAGACCAGTCTTTCCTGGTCCTTGTAATTAGGTAATGCCCCAACACTTGACCAGTCCAATCTGGTCCTAGTAGTCAGGTATTATCCTCACACCTGACCAGTCTTTTATGAACCCTGTAGTCAGCTAGTACGACCATGCAAGATCCTTATACCCAGGTCCTTGTATTATTACACTCACACTATCTGGTCCCTTTAGTCAGATAATACCCTCACACCTGACCAGTTGTCTTCAGTGATTTAATCCACCAGCCTTAGATAGTGGGCTGTTCAAATAACCTTTGTCTGTGGCCTGTCTGTAAACAATCCTTGTTATTACTATTTCTTGAGTAATCCTGGAGGGGTCTTTCTTAAACTTGATGTGTATGTTCCCCAGTGAAAAAAAGGTCTGGCAGGTGGCCATCTTGGATTTTGACAGTGAAAGTACTGGAAAAATAGTTCTCAAACTTGATGTATAGGTTCTTTTGTCGCAAGTGGAGCCTATTCAATTTCATGCTTGCTCAAGAAAACAAAATGGCTGACTAGAGATCGTCTTGGATTTTTACAATTTTGTTATCACTATTTCTCAGAAAGTTCTTGTGAGATCCATATTTATGATTCCCTCTTGTTATCTAATGATTAAAAGGAAAAGAGGAACAGAAGGAAAAATAGAGAAAAGATTAGTCTTACATAAAACCAACGAAAATCTTCTAATGGTGGTCATCGAGAACTCTTATTTCTTGATCATCTTTGGAGATAGAGACAGTATAACTTTATCAAAATGCAGCTTTTTTTGCTTGATTCATTGAACAGTCATTATGAATATATGATGATGTAAGTCTGATTTTTGTAAATATGTAGATGGCAAAATCATCAACTGTGTGTTTGAGTAGGGGTAATTAATTCTAACTTCAAAGACTATGTATGTTTTTATTTCTCTTTTAGTGAGTAACCACCAAGCAAACAGATGAGACAACACAGAACTGCCTGTTATAAATATACTGGGTAGTGTAACCAGAACAACTAGGAATACATACCACCTACTCGCAGAAAAAACAGGATTAAACCTGCCAACAAGATCAGACATTTCCTAGTGATGTATAGTGTACACCAAACTGTTAAATGATTTTCCTTCAGTTTCTCTACCTTAATGTATTTTGCACTGGTGAAATTTGACATTGAATGTGACAATGATGAACTTATGTCATATAATAAAACCCAGAGCTAAGGTATTCAATGCTTTAGATATGTACATTTCATCTTTCTTTGTAGTAGAAAATAGCCTGTGTTCCGCAGAATATTTTGACCATATTTTCTTTTCTTTCTTTTTTTTGTTTTGAATTTTGAATTTTAAGTTCAGTAACCCAACGCCATCAACTGTTTAAGGAGATGAATTTTTATACTGGGAGAGTAGAAAGAAAATTTTCTTTAGTTTTATAATGATCAAGGTTAAGAAGTATATATATATATATAAATACATAATAGCAAAATGTTGAAACACACGTTTAGTTAGACAATAGATGTTAATTACAGGTGATATTACGATAGTGATCTGCCAGGTCTCCAGCTTGTACAGTTGTTTCACAAACTTTTATCTTGTAACTAAGAAACAGGTGCCCCTAGCAGGATACACCTGATTTGGAACCCTAGGGTGGGCTCTGATATTTGATAAGGTTTTATCTGTTTTTTATTATATACTCCTTCTTAAATGGTATTTACACAGAAGATAGTTATTGTAGAGAGTAGATGGTTTCAAGAAACTTTAAGCAAAGGTTTATCATCTTACCTAATCCAATTTATACCAATACTTTAAATTTGTTCTTGAAATTAGTTAAAAATGAGTCTGTTAATTATTTCTTTTCTGATTGTTTGGTAAAATTTTGTCAGAACGAAGGCAATCTGTTCACCTTGTATTCCATTGCAATAGAAGTGATAAATAATACAGTTTTAGTTGTAGTCGGCTGTTCCTGTTAACAACACCCCAGTAATGTCTGTTGATGGCATGGGATAAAAGAGTAGAATCTTTCATAATTTCAGGCAAAATTTTCTATCTTCTCATTAAATAAATAGTAATGTGATTCTTACAACAAAGAGGAAACAATAACAGTTAAAGTAAGATACATTCAGAATAAAAACATTGGATTTTGTGAATCATTTACACAAGATATAGATTGTGTACAATAATGATGACTCGAGTTTTTACCTCCTGTATATAGGATAACTGTTGTTGCTTCGTTGTTATATATTTGCAAATTCATATGTAAATTTTGACATCAATGTTAAATTTTGTACAGAAGATGTAATAATATCCAGTTTTAACATTAATCATTATATGTCATTATTGTTATCTTTAGTTCAATGTCATTAGAAATTACACTTCATATATAATATGTTGCGACCTTCAAATTACAGGTAACTTCTGAAAACCTGAAGAAAACATGTAATATCTGATTATTAATCTGAAGGAGAAATTCAAAATTACTCATGGGATAAAAGTTTTGAGAGCAAATTTCTTCATTTTGTTCAAAATATATTCTTTTGGTCTTTGTTCTCTTGATTAATTCTAAAAATAGGATATTAAAGAAATCCGCAGATCATTTATTTCATTTATCTATTTTTTGTTCTTACTTTAATCACACACTTAATCAGATCAGTGTTAACTTCATTTATTGTTGCATTCATATGTGATCATTTTAATGTATAACAAAGACATGTATTGTCTTTACATATATGGCATTGATATACTGATTTAATCATGGGATCTTGGTTTTGTGAATACCAGGTTTCTTCACCTATAGAAAAAAGAAACACCATAATGTTTTGACCTGTGAGATATACATGAGAGTTTCTTGTGAGTTTGTTATGAGATATTATCTTATGACTGATTAATCTTCAGAGAGTGAACATCATACACATGTCCTCAAATGATGTTCCAAAATGTCAATGAAAACTAAAACCCATGAAAGCTTCCAGCTTTTTTTTCATGCAATGTAATGAAAAGATCACATGATTTTTTTTTTAAAAAGGGAGTTTTCATTTTATATGCTGTTATGGAACTGAAGTTTTCACAGAATTCCTGCATCCTGGAACCACTTTAGAGATTCTGTTTATCTTTGTGATACATGATTAGCATATATTTGTACAAAGACTTGGTATATCACACAAAAGTAATATAACCGAGAGCAAACAGCTTCAAATCGGTGAAATTTTTGTGATGTTGATGTTTTCACTGATGAATTCCATATATATCATTGTTTATTAGTATTTCACATATGTGTGAGAGATGGGCAATTGTTTAGTTTAATAAGCAGATTTTAGTACATTATCTATTCTGTATCACTCATAATCAGAAACAGTAATAGGGCTAACAGTTTAAGGGTCTTTTGGTGACGTCAGTATGGTGTCAGGGAGAGCATTTTAACAGCTAATCTAAGGACAGAGGTATTGTTGTTAAAGAGAGGGTCAAAGGTTCACTATTTAGCTCCAGGCTCTTTGACCTGGAGTATTGGTATTGAAGAGAGGGTTCAACATTAAGGTCATAACCCCAACTGAAGGTTAGAAGTAGTGAAGTGAAGGTCATATGTTGACTATTTAACCCCTGACACCAGGATATGAGGTATTGATATTGAGGAGAGGGTCAAGGATTCATCATCTAAACCATGACCCTCGACACCAAAGGTATTACTATATATGGTGAAGTGAGGGTCAAAGGTTAAGCATTGAACCTGTGACCCTTGGTTCCAGGTTGTTATTAGTTTGGTGAGTTTCAAGTGTTGAATATCTAGCCCCAAACCCCAAAGTCTAAGTGTCAGTAGTGAAATGAGGGTCAAAGGTCACACATTTTACCCCTGATTTGTGGTCTGTATAGCTAGTTTCAAGGGTTCAACGTGTAATTTCTGACCTCCTGTATCTGTCATATTGGTGTTTAGTGAGGGACAAGGGTTCAACATGTGACCATTGGCCTAAGTTTGAGATATCAGTAGTTAAATAAGGGTAAAGGGTTAAACATTTAACTCCAACCCCTTGGGTCTGAGATATTGATAATGAAGTAATGATCAAGGATTCAACATATAATACTCGACCCTCAAGTCTCAGGTGGCCATAATGAGATGAAAGTCAGTGGTCCTAAATTTAACCCCTGACCTCGCAGTGAGGTTAAATATTCAACATTTAACTCTGACACCAGGAGGAAATGCTAGTTTGATGAGGGTGATGGATTTAACTGTTGTAGCTGATACTACTCATGTTGTGTAGCACTGTAATGATCATACAAAAATAAATTACTAACAAAGTATAATCTGGTTCTGCCTTTTTCTTGACTCCGTTTGATTCTTATTCATGAATATACTCTTGCATAGGTGTAGGGTCATCCTGGATACTCCAGGTCCCTGGAACAGGTCATGGCAAAATTGAAGGCACCAAGAAAAAACTAACCAATCACCGACTGATACGCTCCTTTTGAAGATTACAAAGGAGCGACACCTAACTTCAAAGCCATTACAACATACCATAATGCGACCTCGAGATTCGTTTGATGTACATCAAAGGATCCATCTAGTCTTTTCGTCTTGTCCAGTAGGTGTCGCACATGGACCTTCAGTTTTGTCACGACATGCAGAGAGTTAAAGTGATCGTAATTCCTTGAGTATCGAGGATGGTGTAGGGCATGTCATCTTGAAAGGTAATAATAAAGCAAGACATCTTTTCATCGAAGATCTGTAAATAATGGACAATATGATTGTAAATTATATTTGTACTTGGCCAGGTGAAGAGAGAAATTGATAAAAACGTATAGCTTATTTTCTTATTCCCTCGTTGTGTGTAACATTGAAAGAAAATTATTTTTTATATGAAGGTAAAGTTTTTAGAAGAAAATACTAATAAATGTCTAGATGGCCTGTCATAGACAGTACAACAGTATTATTATAGTGACAACTAGAATCGGATTGCCCAAAATCATCTGAAATAATTCACAACGTCACTAAATGTGAAAGAGGAGAGGAAAATATGTTAAGGCCTTTGACAGAAATTGAACCTGGGTCTCCCGTGTGATAATCCACAGCTATATCAGATTGTGTATAGCGTTATGCTTCACAGATCCAAGTGATATGCTTGACAGACGATGGGACCGACTTTGAAGCCACACTTTTACACTTCTAACAACACTGAACCGCTGAGATAGGCAGGTTTTTATAAGCTGGCGTTGTCTGATGAAGAATAATAGAATATCACACCTTTGTGTGAGGTTATATCTTAACCGTGGGCGTGTGTTTAAACTTTTCCCTAATTGTTTACGTATCTCTGTTTACAGCACTCATTAGCACCTCCAAATAACGCTGGTTTTTAAACGTTATGTACATCTGAAGATGACAGACGGAATGAATCTATGAATGGAAAACTGCACAAACAGAATAAGAGTATGCGTTCTGAAAAAGAGGTGGACATGTATGGAATGCTGTAACGGCCTTCTGAGGTGGACATGTATGGAATGTTGTAACGGCCTTCTGAGGTGGACATGTATGGAATGTTGTAACGGCCTTCTGATGTGGACATGTATGGAATGTTGTAACGGCCTTCTGAGGTGGACATGTATGGAATGTTGTAACGGCCTTCTGAGGTGGACATGGATGGAATGCTGTAACGGCCTTCTGAGGTGGACATGGATGGAATGCTGTAACGGCCTTCTGAGGTGGACATGTATGGAATGCTGTAACGGCCTTCTGTGATGGACATGGATGGAATGCTGTAACGGCCTTCTGAGATTGACATGGATGGAATGCTGTAACGGCCTTCTGTGATGGACATGGATGGAATGCTGTAACGGCCTTCTGAGATGGACATGGATGGAATGCTGTAACGGCCTTCTGAGATGGGCATGGATGGAATGCTGTAACGGCCTTCTGAGATGGACATGTATGGAATGCTGTAACGGCCTTCTGAGATGGACATGTATGGAATGCTGTAACGGCCTTCTGAGATGGACATGGATGGAATGCTGTAACGGCCTTCTGAGATGGACATGGATGGAATGCTGTAACGGCCTTCTGAGATGGACATGGATGGAATGCTGTAACGGCCTTCTGAGATGGACATGGATGGAATGCTGTAACGGCATTCTGAGATGGACATGGATGGAATGCTGTAACGGCATTCTGAGATGGACATGGATGGAATGCTGTAACGGCATTCTGAGATGGACATGGATGGAATACTGTAACGGCCTTCTGAGATGGACATGGATGGAATGCTGTAACGGCCTTCTGAGATGGACATGGATGGAATGCTGTAACGGCCTTCTGTGATGGACATGGATGGAATGCTGTAACGGCCTTCTGAGATGGACATGGATGGAATGCTGTAACGGCCTTCTGAGATGGACATGGATGGAATGCTGTAACGGCCTTCTGAGATGGACATGGATGGAATGCTGTAACGGCCTTCTGAGATGGACATGGATGGAATGCTGTAACGGCCTTCTGAGATGGACATGGATGGAATGCTGTAACGGCCTTCTGAGATGGACATGTATGGAATGCTGTAACGGCCTTCTGAGATGGACATGGATGGAATGCTGTAACGGCCTTCTGTCATGGACATGTATGGAATGCTGTAACGGCCTTCTGAGATGGACATGGATGGAATGCTGTAACGGCCTTCTGTGATGGACATGGATGGAATGCTGTAACGGCCTTCTGAGATGGACATGGATGGAATGCTGTAACGGCCTTCTGAGATGGACATGGATGGAATGCTGTAACGGCCTTCTGAGATGGACATGGATGGAATGCTGTAACGGCCTTCTGAGATGGACATGGATGGAATGCTGTAACGGCCTTCTGAGATGGACATGGATGGAATGCTGTAACGGCCTTCTGAGGTGGACATGGATGGAATGCTGTAACGGCCTTCTGAGGTGGACATGTATGGAATGCTGTAACGGCCTTCTGAGGTGGACATGGATGGAATGCTGTAACGGCCTTCAGAGGTGGACATGTATGGAATGCTGTAACGGCCTTCTGAGGTGGACATGGATGGAATGCTGTAACGGCCTTCTGAGGTGGACATGGATGGAATGCTGTAACGGCCTTCTGAGGTGGACATGGATGGAATGCTGTAACGGCCTTCTGAGATTGACATGGATGGAATGCTGTAACGGCCTTCTGTGATGGACATGGATGGAATGCTGTAACGGCCTTTTGAGATGGGCATGGATGGAATGCTGTAACGGCCTTCTGTGATGGACATGGATGGAATACTGTAACGGCCTTCTGAGATGGACATGGATGGAATGCTGTAACGGCCTTCTGTGATGGACATGGATGGAATGCTGTAACGGCCTTCTGAGATGGACATGGATGGAATGCTGTAACGGCCTTCTGAGATGGACATGGATGGAATGCTGTAACGGCCTTCTGAGATGGACATGGATGGAATGCTGTAACGGTCTTCTGAGATGGACATGTATAGAATGCTGAACCAGCCTTCTGAGATGGACATGGATGGAATGCTGAACCAGCCTTCTGAGATGGACATATATAGAATGCTGAACCAGCCTTCTGAGATGGACATGGGTGGAATGCTGTAACGGCCTTCTGTGATGGACATGGATGGAATGCTGTAACGGCCTTCTGAGGTGGACATGTATGGAATACTGTAACGGCCTTCTGAGATGGACATGGATGGAATGCTGTAACGGCCTTCTGAGATGGACATGGATGGAATGCTGTAACGGTCTTCTGAGATGGACATGTATAGAATGCTGAACCAGCCTTCTGAGATGGACATGGATGGAATGCTGAACCAGCCTTCTGAGATGGACATGTATAGAATGCTGAACCAGCCTTCTGAGATGGACATGGGTGAATGCTGTAACGGCCTTCTGAGATGGACATGGATGGAATGTTGTAACGGCCTTCTGATGTGAACGTGTATAGAATGCTGTAACTGTCTTCTGAGCTGGCTATGCATGAAATGCTTTAACTGCCTTCTTTACGTTGTGTGGTCATATCACTACTGTTTATGTCAAACTATTTGACGTTAAGTCGAAACTTCCTTACTATATTTGGTTATACAATATAACCAAGAACATGCAGGAGTTTCGACATAACGTAAGGTTATAATCACATAACCGTAATAAGTCGACAAAATGTACTGGTGTAATCACACAACACAATGCAATTTTGTCCTTGATAGAACGTCAGTATGCAGCCACATAGCGGCAGTGAAAAGACGTTATTGAATAATGTAAGGGTATAACAAACTCCAAGCAGGATTTGAGCCACACAACGCAAATACATTTTGATATAACAGTGATATATTTATATTTTAATGATGGCCTCCCATTAACACATTGTTATTCCGGATTGTATTCACACAAGTATTGGTACATTTTGGACAATAGCATGACGTCATTTTGGCGTCATAATGACTGAACTGACGAGAAACGCTTTAAACATCGCCTCAAATTTAGCTATGATTTTAAAAAGATTTTCCGGTGTGCAAACATACAGCGATAAAGACGATTTAAAGTAGAGAAAAAGAGGCGTGGTAATGTTTTGAATAATATCCGAAATGTAAATATAACATTTGAACGCCTGTCAGATTGTATTTATTGCCAATATGAATGCACTCTGGGTGCCAGATTGATAATGACTTCCTAACTAGAGAATAAATCTAGTACAAACTGGTCAATGTTCAATGCTACAGTATCAAAATAACGCAAGACCTTAATGATGTAAGAATTTATCCACACAACGTTAAGAAATTTTGACATAATGTAAGATTGTAATCGCACAACGTTAAAAAGTGTTGACTTATTTTAAGGATGGTTGACAGTGCCCTAGGTATTCCAACTGCACTTAAAACCCGAAAATGTGTAAAATAAAAACAACAACAAAAAACAAAAAAACGACGAAGTACAGCTACAAAAAAAACAGCATTTATGTGTGGTGCTAGAATGTCTTGTGATCAAAGTTGGATTCGGACTTTCCCACGATAACGTGAGAATAGACAGTCGATCGGTCATCGTTGGACACCGCACGAACCATCGTACACAAGAACATTGGTAATTGCCAGACACGCTTTATATACGTCTCTGATTTTGCGTACAATGGCCTGGTACATAAAATACACACCAGTACAATGACAGAGCAACTGTCTGTCAATTATAGTCTACAATACGGCGCCATGGTAACATTTGACCATTAATACGTTATACACATAAAAGTGTTAGAAATCGGAAAAGAAAATCGTACTAATTGTTTCATTAAGTCCGTAACAATTCTCTTAGAACAGTACCGTAGTTTAAATTCTACACAAGCACATTTAACAAATATTGCAGAATGTCTATTTATATAAACGCACGTTAACCTGATTGACTAACTCGTATAAAAACATTGGCAAGGTCGGGTACATAAGGGTATGTATTGGCCGATACCATTGGCTGATTGGTTGACTTTGACTCGTCCCACTTCTCCTTATATGGCATGTGACTTTGGGGTCATGACCTCGTGGCTCAAAGTCAGCTGATTTCGCTGACAGCGCGCAGAGGGTTGGTGAACGTCTGATCGATGAGAGGGCCCTGTTGTCAGAAACGAGTGTTTCTGAGAACTATTTGAATGCATCTTCGATCAGTTTGCATATTTCTTTTGAAATAGTATCATATTTGAACGAAATGGTTGGAACAGAAAAGAAATCAAACAACCTCTGTGCAGTTACGAAGACGAAATCTGACGCAGTGTTCGAATCCGTCGATTCGAGTAGGCAGACGAAAGTTCAACGTATGCTGCACAAGTTGAAGTCAACTACAATGAAAGGCATGACAAAAATAAAAGGACATCGCGACTCGTCTGCAGTAAATCCAACTGACGAAACGCATAATCAGAAACAACATGAAGATATTATTGGTGAGTAATATTGCTTGTTTAACATCTCTATGCAAACTTTTATCGTCACGAGTCGGCGCGAATTTGGCCGAACCTTTTTTCACACTATAGGCATAATTACTCAATAATGTTGTAATGTGTGAATGAAAAAGTCCGTGGGTTCGAAACAGGTGTTCAGTTCAGTGTTGTTTCCTTACTCAGTCCGAGTTAAAATTGGCTTTCTTTAAGTGGAATGTCTCTGAATGTGCGGTTACGTGTCGATATCGTTTCTTTTCGCAACATTGAAATGGTCTACTGGAGGGTCATTTTGTTGAGTTTATTGTGATTATTTTCTTGACGTCGTTGATGGATTATATATATAATGGTGTAGTGATGTGTTTGGGTACAGATTCTATTCACTATACTCACGTTTTATACTTTATATCCAAACTCAACAGTTATTAATCGATTTTTAAACTTTGAAAATTGTCAAACAAGAATCGGTGAGTAACTATGAAAAAAGTTCTAAATTAAAATATTGCTGTCTACATTATCATGCATTTTACCTGATTTCTTTCATTATTAGACACGCTGTATACTGTACCATTGTTTCATATTTGAAGTTCAGATGCCATAACTCCAACAGGATTAACACAGGAGTACACTGTTGTTACCCCATCATTATCAGATGGTGGGCTTTTCAAATTGCCCTTAGTCTGTCGGTAGCCTAAACAATTTTGTACAGACGATTTCTTCAGAATTTTTTTTCCTCAATTTTCATATGCAGAGTAGCCTTGCTCCTAATTTTTGCTTTTATGAATTTGGGTTGTGTGGACAGGTTATTATTATGTTTACTATTTCTTTAAGGTTATTACAAAATTTCACATAATAATAAGGGGAAAATCTAAGAAAAAATTAAACTTGAAAGAAGAAATAAACATTAAACAATTGTGGATTCAAAGATCCCATTTTGGAAGGCTTTAAGTATGTTTATCAAGTTGTAACAGTTAATAGATAAATTATTAGCAAATAAAATGTCCAAGGGATTAGTTCCAAAGTTTTCCCAACTTATAAACAATTACCAGGTATATACCTGGTCGTCACATGATAATATTTAGAAAAGAGTATGTAAAATAATATGTTATTTACATATCACCAAATAAATTGTCAAAATTTCAATGTATACTTTGATCTAATTACAAGAGAAAGAGATCCCTTTCATTTCCATCAGCTGATCTAACCACAAGTTTTGGAAAGAGTGTTAAGTTAATGTTAATTTTCCTTCAAACTTTTTCAGATTTGAACCAAATTTGGTACATTGCTTTATATCGATAAATACTCGTATGAGTTCCACATTAGTTAAAATCTCTCAACATTTACCATATAAAGTCGATTTTAAAATCCTTAAAATATATACTTTCATTCATATAAATACAATTTTTATTTTCAAATTTGAACAAAATTTGGTAAATTGATTTTAGTGAAATGTCAGATGAGTTTGATATTGGTCAACATTTGACATTCGTCAGTCCGTAAAAAGATATGTTATTGCTTTTTTGTGAGAAGTACCGGATGGATACTTTTTACTTGCATTTGTAGGTTCCCAATGATACCTAGTTGTGCCTGTCTGATTTTGGTCCACACCAGAAAAGCAAAATGGCTGACAGGCAGCCATCATGGATTTTTACTATGAAAGAATTTTATCACTTTTTCTTGAGAAGTAATAAGTGGATCGCTCCCTAGTTGTGCACACTTGACTTTTTTTTTATGATAATTGATTGTTATTGCTATTTCTTGAGAAGTACAGGATGGATCTTTCTTAAATTTCATAGGTAGGTTCCACTTGTTCCCTTGTTTTGCCTTTTTTAATTTGGCAATGATTAGAAAAACAGAAATGGCTGACAGATGGCCATTTTCGAATTGGCAGTTAAAGAATATTATCACTATTTCTTGGAGGAAAACATAGGAATTAAGAGAACAGAAGGTAAACAATCCCAACTTTTAAAGAATGAATAAAAATCAAACAATGGTGGGCACTAAGATCCATCTTAGATCTTAGATCTCTTGTTACTGTAAAGATTGAACCAAATTCAATATATTGCTTTTATTTCACGTGTTAATTTTTAATTTTTATCTTTAAATTTGAACCAGATTTGGTTTTTTTTATTTATTGGAGGTGTCTTAAAAGAATTTGATAATGGTCAAAACCCTTCAATTTTTGCTACAGCTGTACTACTTTCAAAATGTTAGACTATATAGATAATTTCTTTATTTTCCTCAAGTGAACAAAATTTGATATTGCTTTGTGTCAAGGACATCTTGAATGGATTTGATACAGGCTAAAGTCTTTCTATGCAGGAGCTATGGGACCAACACAATCCATCAACATTTGTCTGAGTGACTGGATTGAAAGATTTTCTTAATTACTCGCCATGTTGTTGAGAGTTGACCCATATGACCTAGTCCTTATGTTACTTAGCCTTCATGAATGACATGTTTCAGAGGCATAATGTTTCTAACAATTTTTTTTTCAGTTTTTTTTTCTTTCATATTTTGATCACAGTGATGCAACCTTGTCATCTCCATGATATCTACTATTATTATTCTTGTGTTTCGTGAAACAAGTTTGATGAGTAATCATGAATATTCCAATTTTGACAGATGATGCTGACCTCCCTCACTGCCCATCTCAAAATAATTTTGAGAACCTGATGGAGAAAAACCAATGGGAAGACTTGGTCATCCTGATAAAACATGCTCTTTCTTCTGTGCGAGATGACAAATTTGGTTATGAGATGATGATTCCATGTGGTTTAGTAATGCGTATAGCTCGTGATATTATAACTTTAGCTCGAAAGGAGCCATGTGGACTGAGAGGATGTGTCCTCTTTATAAACCTAGAGGACAAAAGTAAGTGTCAGAATCTTGCAAAACTTGACTGTGATCCAACAACTGTATCAACATTTGAATTGTACCTGACTTTAAAGGAAGATACAAGAGGATGGTGCAAATTGAAAAAATTCTTCATTTCCTTGAGTGGGTACCTAGACAAAAAGAAAAGTTTAGACTTAAAGCTTCTGTGTTCTGGATATGGCCTCGAGAAGAAGAAACTTTACAGGCTTAATAACTAATGTAGTAAATAAGGCTTTGACAAACATTTTAAGTTTATACTTGTGATATCTCTACATTCCTATTAAAACATAATTTTTTGTGGTCTTTAGTTTGTGTATAACCATTCACAGAAGAGGCATGTGAGCTTGAAATTTAAACCTTTGTGTTCATATGGATAAATAGATTGAGATTAGGCACAAAAATATGCAAAACATTAAATTTCATCAATTTCATTGACAAATGCATGTAGAAATACTGCTTGGATGGGATAACTTACTATATAATGATGACAGCAAACACCGAGCTCTCATGTTGTTTTAAGGACGACGTATCTTCGTGTGTGGATGATAAGTACAAGGGAGAGTGTTTAAGGAAGGTGAGTTATCATTTTGTTTGAATGGAAGATGTATGAGGAGTATTGAAAATGTTGGAGGTAAACCAACCTCTTGTGTACATGATAGTCACACTTTGATAGTTCATAGTGTTTGAAGCAAATTATATCATTTTCTGCTTTAAAGAAAGTAGGAAACAAGCAGAATGACAGTGTTGGAGGTGAATTATTCTGTAAGAATGAGATACTGTGAGAGTTGACGGAATTACCCAATATGAATGAGATAACTGCATAAGAGTTGACAGTATTGGAGGTGAATTACCCCCTGTATGGATGAGATACACTGGTAGAGTTGACAGTGTTGGAGGTGAATTTCCCCCTGTATGGATGAGATACACTGGTAGAGTTGACCGTGTTGGTGGTGAATTTCCCCCTGTATGGATGAGATACACTGGTAGAGTTGACAGTGTTGGAGGTGAATTTCCCCCTGTATGGATGAGATACTGCATAAGAGTTGACAGTATTGGAGGTGAATTTCCCCCTGTATGGATGAGATACACTGGTAGAGTTGACGGTGTTGGAGGTGAATTTCCCCCTGTATGGGTGAGATACACTGGAAGAGTTGACCGTGTTGGTGGTAAATTTCCCCCCGTATGAACAAGATACTGCATAAGAGTTGACAGTATTGGAGGTGAATTTCCCCCTGTATGGACGAGATACTGCATAAGAGTTGACAGTATTGGAGGTGAATTTCCCCGTGTATGGACGAGATACTGCATAAGAGTTGACAGTATTGGAGGTGAATTTCCCCCTGTATGGATGAGATACACTGGAAGAGTTGACAGTATTGGAGGTGAATTTCCCCCTGTATGAACGAGATACTGCATAAGAGTTGACAGTATTGGAGGTGAATTTCCCCCTGTATGGATGAGATACACTAGAAGAGTTGACAATATTGGAGGTGAATAACCTCAATATGGATAAGATACACTGCAAAGTTAGAGGTGGGTCATCTTTCATGAATAAGACACTCAGCAAAATTAAAAGTGGACATTCTTCTTGTATGGCTCTGGATGACAGATATTGAAATCCTATTTAAACTTTGACAATAGGAGAGTGGAGTGGTGAATTATCTGGTATCATAGGGTATTGATTTCACAGAATTGGTTTTTTCTGAATATGAGAAATGATTGAAATAAATTTAAGGTTCTTTTATTGAAAACAGGCAACAAATACCACCTGTTTATTTAGTGCTTACCACATGTTTATCAATACGTGAACTTGAAATGAATCGACCAGTTTTTATTTAGTTGTGTATAATGCATCAGACAACTGACATCATATCACAGCTATAATTTCATCTGTAGCTCACCATTAATGAATACGAAAAATTACAACTTACAAATACTCTGTTGATTGATGAAAGATAATTTCATATGTATTTTTTGTATTTCAAATATGATTTTATACTTATATTGTGCCAAAAAGAGGAATGTTGACAATGCAAATGCAATCTAAACATGAAAGACCATGCTGTTCTGGAAGAGTGTTGCTTCATCATATATATGCCATTACTAATTTGAAAATGAAACGTATAACAGTTTTATTTTGTTGGGGGTGGGGGGTTTCCAATTGTTCTGTTTTAATCATTTAATCAGTAAAATCTATTTTAATTATTAATGTGTCAATCAGTTTTGGTATTTTTCATGTGCTTGAAAACATTGTGCATTCATGGAGTTTCTTTAGGGAAAAATAGCCTGGTTGTGAGTTTTGACATAGTCAATTGAATCTCAATATTGTGATGTTGTCAGGTGTTTTATGCTGGATGTGATATCAAGTTCAAAGTGAATAAAGAATGTGTTATTATCCAGATGTGATATTATCAAGATGTGATATTACCATGTAGTATGTGTGTTGTGATAATATAAACAATGTTATACTATTCTATTCAAACAATGAAATAGTAAGATGTGGTTTCTGAAGAATTCTGAAGATGCATAATATTAAATTTTGAAGTAGTTAATTGAACCTTAATTTGCCATTTCATTTTCACTTACTCCCCTTATAGAGCTTGGAAAGAAAGGTTTTGATTGGAGCATGAAACCAACATTACACAATATATTTGAATTTTGATGGAGTTCTACAACCAATGTCAAGTGAAAATTCTTATCATTTTATGTTGCAGTTCTGCAGAAATTTCCCCAAACCTCTCACACTATTTATATAATCAACACCTTGGCATAATTTATAATGGAAATTTCTTTTTTTGAAAGTAGGAGATGTTTTACTCTAGTCCATTGCGTGATAATTTGTTAAAAAAAAAAAAAAAAAACAAGAAAATTCTATGTTCTAATATATTTTCTATGTATTTTCCACAAGACCCGTCCATATAAAGATGTTATTTAATATTTTGTATATGTTGTACTTTGTCAGATATAAAGTAATAGCTCATTGTCATTCCAACCACTTACAGTGTTCATTTAGTCTGTTACAAAGAATCAACGAATTAACGATGGTTTGCAGGCATCACTAAAGTTCACAGTAATGCTCAAGAAGGTTTGCCTTTAGGGTGTCATAATCAAACGATCCAGAAGTTACCTGTGAGGACAGGAAGATTTTTTTTCCAATATAAGATTAACAATTTGGTTTATGTTTCAGAGAATTAATTACCAATCAGAAACAAAGTGGTGGGGATTCGACTTAGGTTGTTTCCATCTGTCCTCTGTACTTTCATCTGCAGACTATCTTGTCTGGGCTCCATCTTCTTCACTACTCGTCATTGTAATTTCATACTTGGAGTTGGAGCCCACCTTGTTGAGATGGTGTGTCATGTATGAGAAGTACATCACTTTTACATACATTTTGACCTACATTGAAAACAGGTTTAAGGGAGCTGTATTTCCTACACTACATTTCACTGCCACTTAATACTTTGGGTATGGGTTTCACCTTGGTGAGACAGTGCGTTTTGTATCAAAACTCTGTCATTATGACCCTTATATTGACATTTGCCCTTCATTTCGAGAAAGTTTGTCCAAGCTCTTTGTCCTACACTACTTGCCACTAGAAGATCATGTAAGGCGTATTTATTAATCTAGGTGAGATGGGTGTTTATTATCTAAAGCTTTCAGATCTAAATTTAGACCTTATCAACCTATCATGAGTTTTGACTTACATCAAAGTAAAGATTTGTCTTGGCTTTACCTAGCATATTACTTGTCACTGGGAACTTCATATTTGGGGTATAAGTTAACCTTGATGAGGCAGTGGTGGTGTATCAAAAGTAGGTCACTCTGACCTAGGTTTTCAGCTTTGACCTACATCAGAGATAAAAAGTTTTGTCAGCTCTTTCTCATATAATTATAATAACTGAAACTAAATACTTGGAGTAATGGTTCACCCTAGTTAGGCAGTGTACTGTGTATTAAAAGTAGGTCTCTTTGACCTACTTTTTGAATTTTGACCATCAAAGAAAAGGTTTATCTGGACTCGCTCTTCTGCAGTTTTATTCATTGGAAGTTTGATAATACATTTTTTGTACTTGGTGTAAGAGTTCACCTTGGTGAAGTGGTGCGTCTGTTGGGGGACTAATCCCCCAAATTGTTTTTTAATAATAATAATTTGTCACAGTATATGTCAAAACACAAACAAATTTTGTTTTCATAGTTAAGATGCTGGTTGGAAGATGTACATATCCCTATATGTCCCTTAAACTGACAAACCCTTGAAATTTTTAAAAATATTAGATCTATAAATAAATATCTAAGCTCACTTGTCAACAAACTGGAACATAAGTGACTAGGTGGTAAATGTTGTTTAAATCCTTGTGGTAAAGAAATATTGTGAACAACTGTATATATTTTTGTGCAATAAAATCTTGTTATCAGAAACTATCTCAAGTTTGTTATTTTTTTCATTCAACAAATTTCAATTTATGTCACAAAAACAGGTTGGATTTACTGCTCAACAGTTATACTTTTACAAAACAATAACAAGACAGTTATGTGATATAAAGTTTTGAGGACATATTTAGAAGACCAACAGCATAAGGGAAATTATGAAGACTCCGATGAGTAACGACATTAATTATTTTCCTTTAGACTGTATTTATTGGCCAATACAAATGCAAACTGGGCAAGAGATAATTAAAATGATATCAAACACTAATATTCATCATTGTCCAAGATTGCATTCATACTGACTAAAAGTTTAATCTGACATCTTTTCAATAATCAAATTACACAAAGCTCATTTTACAAGTTTTCTCCTTTACATTTATTAGTCCCCAGCTAACTGGAGGAGGGGGCTATAGTTTTCTTCTCCCTCTGTGTGGATGTCGGTTTCCAGAATTTCAATGAAACTTTATTTACTGTTAGGTTATGAGGTAATACAGAGTGAGATTGAATTTGGGGTCGAAAGGTCAACTACAAATGTCACTGATTAAATATATTTTTTATTGAATTTTGGTTTCCAGATATTAACTTCCGAAAGGATTGATTGATTTCATAAAATGTTAACTGATGAGGTACTACAGAGTGGGATTGAGTTTTGGGTCGAAAAGTCAGCTATGAAAGTCACTGTTATTTATCGTCAAATTTTGGTTTTCTTGTCATAACTTCATAAAGGATTGATGGATTTGGTTGAATCTTCATACAATGTAAGCGTATGAGGTAATACAGCGTGAAACTA